CCCCCCGCCAGTGCACAAATTTTTGTGCACCGGGCCTCTAGTATATTTATAACACTTATTACATTCCTATAAAAATTATTACATTCCTATAAAAACAAAGAAAATCATAATAAAAATTTAAGTTAATCTTTATTAATTCTACTGTCCTGAGATGACTGCTGTTAACATTTTGGTATATATATTTTCAGAGTTTTTTCTGTGCATACCAATGAATGTAATTATAGACAAATAAACATCAGAAATGGTGGGAGAAAAACATTTCTAAGTCAATAGCTAGAATCTATATTATCCTGCCCTGGCTGATTGTGGCTCTTTGGTTAAAGCTTGTGCCCACGCACTGAAGAGACTCGGGTTTGATTCCTGGTGGAGGGCAAGTACCTGGATTGTGGGTTTGATCCCTGGCCCTGGTCAGGCAAGTGTGGAAGGCAACTAGTCAATGTGTGTCTCTCTCACATCAGTGTTTCTCTCTCTTTCTCTCTCTCTCTCTCTCCCCCCCTTCCCCCCACCCCCTTATTTTCCTCTCCCTCTCCCTCCTCTCTCCCTCCCTTCCACCCTCTCTAAAAACCAATGGAAAAAATATCCTTAGTGAGGATTAACAACAACAACAAAAATCTATATTATCCTACTTAATACAGTATTCCATTGTTAGGTGAAACATTCATCCATTCACTTATTCATTCTATGAGAGTACATAACAGAAGAATTTATCATAACCTGGGAGTAAAAGAAGGCATTGCTGAGGAAGTAACCCTTAGCTTAGATCTGAGGAATGAATAGGTGAAAATAGAAGTTAGAGTTGGAGGGTGTGTTCAGAAAAAGTAAATGGAGTGCTTGACAACTTTGTGGCAGAAAGGAGCAGAGAATCAAATAAAGTCTGGGATGTTTAAAGCATAGTGTGGAAGGTGTGTCATTCGTCAACAGACACTTAGGTTTCCATATTTTGGCTCCTATGAATAATGATGCAATAAACAAGGAAGTGCAGACATCTCTTTGAGATCCAGATTTCATTTCCTTTGGATAAATGTACATATACACAGATGTTTTTGGTTTGTGAAAATTGATCAAGCTTTACATTTTTTTCTATGTATAATACCAGTAAAAATGTTTTTAAAACACTTAAAACCAGAATGTTGGTCTTCACTTTTGACTCAGACTATTTCCCAAAGGCATCACAAACTCAACATATAAAAACTAAATGGCCACAGCCGGTTTGGCTCAGTGGATAGAGTGTTGGCTCGTGGACTGAAGGGTCCCAGGTTCGATTCCGGTCAAGGGCACGTGCCAGGGTTGTGGGCTCGATCCCCAGTGGGGGGTGTGCAGGAGGCAGCCAATCAATGGTTCTCTTTCATCATTGATGTTTCTAACTCCCTCTCCTTCTCCCTTCCTCTCTGAAAACAATAAAAATATATTTAAAATAAATAAAATAAAAACTAAATGAATTTGAAGACATTAGCAGGGGTCCCTTTGGGAAGGGCCTTGACCTCCACGGGTGCTATTTGCATTTTTTAAACAATCTGATGATGGGAGACGTGGCGGGGGGGGGCGGGTATAGATTGGAGAGAGGCAAAACTAGAGCAGGCAAACCTAGTGTTGCATTGTTATACTAATCCTGGTGAGAGATAATCAGGCCATAAAGTCAGTTTCTTGCTCTGTATTGCTACTTGCTTTCCAGAGAGCTTCTACCAGTTTTATACCATCTATATGTGTGGACGAGGCGGGACAGGAGATGAGACAAGAAGAAATTTTTTCCAGATTTTGGAATTATTGGTCTTTTATTTTCTTCTTTATACTTTATTTTTTCCAAGTTTCTATGGTAAATAGATAGTGCTTTCATATTTAGAAAAAGAGAATAATACAAAAGAGATTTTGTTCTTTAAATCAGAACTTGTATTTTAATAGGAAACAAAGACTCAAAATAATGAATATTTAATGGCATCAGGAGAGCTAGAAGTAACAGCATCAGAGGTCTCCTTTAGGAAGCTTAATCAGACAGCAGTATGCAACGTGAGTAGGTGAGGCAACAAAGACTAAAGGTGGGAAAAGCCATCTAGGAGTTCTTAGAAATCTAGCTGAGAGGGAAAACGAGGTCACAAACCCAGGCAGGACCAGTGGACAAGGAATTCAGTCCTCTGTAATTTATTCATTACTCATAATAAAAGACTGACATTGGATTGAATGACATGTCTGTTGTTTAAAACATTCCAAGAAACTTCAAAAGCCCTCTATAATGACCAAGTGGGATGACAATGTATAATTGTATTTTTATCATTTTTTTACAGATTCAGAGTGAACATGAGAAGCTGACATACCTAAGATCTTTGTCTTCTCTCAGCCGAATTTTACCTTATGATGAAACCACAGAATCATTCATTCATGGCCACATCGCAGACATTGTGCATATTCTATATGTAAGTATCATGACTTTACCACAAATTATTGGGGCCATGCAAATTCAGTGATCTGGCTAACAAATTTTTAGTGGCTTCACTTTTTTCCCCCCTGTTAATCCTCACCTGAGGATATTTTTCCATTGATTTTTAGGGAGAGTAGAAGAGAGAGGGGAAGACAGAAAGAAACATTGATGTGAGAGAAACACATCAATTGGTTGCCTCTTGCATGAGCCCCGACCAGGGACCAGGCCTGAGTGGAGCCTGCAACCTAGGTATGTGCCCTTGACCAGAATCAAACCCAGGACCCTTTGATCCACAGGCTGATGCTCTATCCACTGAGCCAAACCGGCTAGGGCTTCACTTTTATTATTGATCCCCTTATCCTTCTCTCATATCAGTATTTCTGCATGGAGGAGAAATACTCAGGGATACTCTACAAATGTAATCAGCCTTGACAAATCAATTGAAAAAGAAGTAGAAAGGAGAGGGATAACAATTAAACTTCTCAGTAAAAACAATGCTGTGTTCTCATTAATCAAGCAGTAGTTCTGAGGCAGACTCTATACTGCAGTACCTAGGTTCAAGGACTAGCTCTGCCTCTTTCTAGCAATGTGACTTGGGAATACTACCAACTTCTCAGTGCCTCAGTTTCTTCATCTATAAAATAAGGATAGCTGTATCTACTTCACACAGCTATTGAGAGCATTAAATAAGAAGTAGATGTAAGCCAGGTAGCATAGTACCTAACACATATTTTGCATTTAAGAAACATGATTGTAGGTGTTCACAACCGCCCTTGCTCTCTAACCCCAGCTCCAGCCCAAGGAGAAGGGAGGTAAGTAAAGAGGTCTCTCTACCATGGCTTCTATAAAGCAGGCTGCCCACAAATCCACCAGTGGTAAAGCACCAAGGAAACAACTGGCTACCGAAGCCCCTCACAAGAGTGGGGCCTCCGCTGGAGGAGTAAAGAAACCTCATTGTTAAAGGCCTGGTACTGTGGCACTTTGTGAAATTAGATGCCATCAGAAGTCCATTGAACTAATTTCCAAACTTACCTTCCAGTGTCTGGTATGAGAAATTGCTCAGGATTTCAAAACAGATCTGTGCTTCCAGAGTGTAGCAATTGGTGCTTTGCAGGAGGCAAGTGAGGCCTATCGGGTTGGCCTTTTTGAAGACACCAACCTGTATGCTATCCATGCCAAACATGTAACAGTTATGCCAAAAGACATCCAGCTAGCATGCCTCAGACACAGAGAACATGCTTAAGAACTCACTAGGATGGGAAACATTTCATTCTTTTAAAAAAAAAAATTCTTTTCTCTCCTTCCTGTTATTGATAGTTCTGAACATTAAATATTTTTTCGCCATGGGGTTAAAAGGTACCTAAGTATATGATTGCAAGTGGGAAATAGGGGCCAGGAATCAGGTATTGGCAGTTTTTCCATTTTCATTTGTGTGTGAATTTTTTTTACTATAAATGTGGGAACATAAAGCATTAACGCAAGTCAAAACGTTTCAGTAAACAAGTTTCAGCAGTTCAACTTTATAACAATATAAATAAACCCATTAAATTTTTTCTGGACAATGCCAGCATTTGGATTTTTTAAAAACAAGTAAAGTTCTTATTGATGGCAACTAAATGATATTTGTAGCATTTTTATCATACAGTAGATTCTATCCATTCAGTATACTTTTCTGAGTTGTTTCACATACAAGTACATGTTTTTAATGTTGTCTGTCTGCTGTGCTATTCCTGTAAGTTTGCTATTAAAATACATTAAACTGTTTTTTAAAAGAAACATAATTGTGTTCTTTTTATTTTTTTTTTTGGTCCTATTTGTAATTAACTTAAGCCACACTCTGCCACAAACTCATTCATTCATTGCCCACTTAGGTGCCTGACCGTCCAAGGCAGTGACCTGGAAATTGGGGCTTCAAAGACAAAGAAGACATAATCCCTGTTTCTGCAGCCAAGCAAGGTGTAGTCAGCTGTCACAAGGACTGTGACAAAAGTTTAAATAGGTATAGTGAGGGCACAGAGGAGTGAGTGAGTGGTCAATTCCATGTCAAAGGATCCAGGCTTTACAAAGGAGATGATGCACTTAAGCAAACACTTAACTTTTTGATGCTTTAATTTTCTCATCCATGGTATGTCCCCTTCGGGTTTCCTAAAGCTCTAAAATTCTGAATCTGAGATTTCTTGTACACTCCAGGAAAATGAGCAGTTCTTCCACCCACAGATCTAAAGGCTGATTAGATTGATGATTCGCATTCAGAATTGAAGGCTAACCAGTTAACAGGTTTGTTCAGCAAGGATCTTCTGTATCTAGGACACTCTGGTGGTTTGATAAAGGACACACATTTCCTAAAAGTGTTAATTCGTTTCTTCTAAGAGTTTACAATCCTTTTGGAAGTGACCACACCTCATACTAGTAAATAGGTTGAGAACTATTCCCAACAATACTTCAAGAAGAGCAGATTGCTGTAATGCAGATTTTAAGAATGGATGCATAGGGGCTGGGAGAAGGGGGGTTAGGAAGGTGGGGAATGGGAGATATCTGTAATGCTATCAACAATAAAAAAATATATTTTAAAAAATTAAAAATTTAAATTAAAAAAAAGAAGAATGGATGCAGCTTTCTACTTGGCTATTGTCTCTGGGCAGAGAATTATAGGCAGCCATAGGACGTAGCCAAAATAGCAAGACTTCAAAGTCCTACTTTCACAAGAATTGGTAGCAGTGGGTTGCCACATGGTTTAACCGATCAGCTCAGAAGACCTACAAATACAAGTCTCGAAGAGCAAAAGCACACTGTATTTCCCTGTGCTCTGCATCTGGATCTGTCCAGCCAGTAGTAAAATACCCACTGTCAAGTAACAACCAAAATGTGACTGGCAGGGGGTTCAGCCTAGAAGAGTTAAGGGTAGTTGTGAGAGAATAGCATGGATTTTTGCATCATTATGCAAGTCTACAAAGTCCCTGCAAGTCCATGTGCAGGGGCTAAGAGAGTACAGCTCCCAAAACCAAGAGGAGAGATGTCCGAAGAGAGGCAGTTCTACTGAGGAACCAACAGAATGAGAAAGCCAAAGTCATCATAAAAAAGGAAGAATTTTAATGCATTTGCCAGTCTTACAACCCATGCCAATGCATGGCTCCTCAGTGTCCAAATAAAAAGAGCAAAGGAAGCTAAGAACAGATATGGAAAGGAATGGGGGGGGGGAGGCAGAAATGTAACACTTTACCAAAGAAGATGTATAAATAAGCACACGAATCGATGCTCCATTACTATGATTAGGGAAAAGCAAATTAAAACCAAGATGAGAGTCAACCATACACCCATTGGAATGGCTAAAATAAAGAAGAAAGATAATACCAAATGTAGGTGACATATGGTGCAACCGGAAATCTTACACACTGCTGGTGGGAATGTAAAAATGGCACAACCACTTTGGAAAACAGTTTGGCAATTTCTTCAAAAGTTATGCTTACCATATGAACCAACCATTCCACTCCTAGGTAACATGAAGGGTTTCTGGACAAAGGCAGGTACACAGATATTCATAGCAGCTTCCATATGAACCAGCCATTCCACTCCTAGGTAACATGAAGGATTTGGCTGGACAAAGGCAGGTACACAGATATTCATAGCAGCTTTATTTGTAATAGCTAAATAGCCCAAATGTCCATCAGCAGATGACTTGATAAACAAATTTTGGAATACTAAAGCAATAAGAAGAAATGAACTCTCGATAACATGCTACAACTCTGGTAAATCTCAAAATAATTACGTTGAGTGAAAGAAGCCACACAGAGGATATACTATATGATACTATTTATATAAAATTCTAGAAAATGCAGACTTATCTAAGGTGATAAGATCAATGGTTTCCTGGAGATAGAAGTAGAGTGGGAAGAGACAGGAGAGAGAAATTATAAAGTAGCACAAGAGAACTTTTGGGATTGATCCATTTGTTCATAATCTTGATTGTGGTGATGTATACATATGCCGTTTAGGCCTATCTGCTTTTAAAAGAAAAGAAAAAGAAAGCTTATTTCTGGCAGAAGTGGCCAAGTAGGTGAAAGTCGAAGGGGATGCAGGCCTGGTGGTTTAGCTAAGAGGGCACTGCCTTCACCCACAGGTGAGGGTGTGGCTGCAGGAATGGAGAATCAAACTGCAGAACAGGGAGTGGCTATTACTGTGATTGGTTGGATGTGGGAAGTGAATAAAGGAGAAAAAAAGTCATACAGAGTATTTGCTCTTAGAGTAACTGAGTCTTCCCAGAATCCTATGACAGGAAGAATAGCCATCTCCAGGAAGGGAATGAAACCAGAAAAGAAAAAAAGAAAAAACACCTTTTCACATACTCAGAACTTTATTTTTTAATTGATTTTTATTTTGTTTTAAATGTTTTTTATTCGTACATGTATTTTGTTGTTCATCCTCATCCAAAGATATTTTTCCATTGATTTTTAGAGAGAGTGGAAGGGAGGGAGGGAGATACAGAGAGAGAAACATTGATGTGAGAGAGCCACAACAATTGGTTGCTCCCCACCCCCACCCCGCACACACCCTGACTGGGGCTGGGGTTCAAGCCTGTAACCGATGTACATGCCCTTGACCAGAATTGAACCCTAGACCCTTCAGTCCTCAGGCCAATGCTCTATCCACTGAGCCAAACCAGCTAGGGCTCTCCATTTATCTTTGCTCCTTTGTATGCATTACTATTTCTTTCTTTCCCTCCATTCCCCACCTCTCTCCACTTCTCTTTCCAAAATTGACTTTCTGTGCACTTGTCCATAGGGCCCAGTGCTCCCAAACTTTGAATTTTCTTTTGGTAGATCAGCCAAACTGAAATTGAAGCTCTTTGTCTCAATTCCAGATTCCTGAGAAGGAGAGTCTAATTGACCCTGGTGTCTACTCCTGGAGAAATGAGCTGTTGTTAGTGGGACAGAATGACGTAGATGAACCATGACTATGAGGCACCAATTCCTATGGGCTGGGAGCAGTTTCCAGAGAGACAATCCAATAAGGTTTCCACTACAACCATTTACATTTGCTCTTCACGTCAACTCCCTGAGATATATTCTCATGCCCTCCATTCGGATAAGAAAACTCAGAGGGAAGTTAATACATCAAGTTCACACAATGAGTGAGTGGCAGAGCCAGTGCTCACTCCCAGGTGCTATATAGCTCCAAAGCTTCTGTTATTTCCTCTCTATCACTCTGCTGATTTTTCCAGCAGAGCACGGCAGCTTTCCCTTTACCAATATGGGATTTGTAAAGTTACTCCTTTTTTAAGACAAGTAACATAATTTTATTGGACACTATATTAGAGATGGCTGGTTTATTAGAAAGAGGAGTTAGGATGTCTAGTAGTTATTGAGGGCTTCTAGATATTATGAATTAGCTCATTTAGTGCTCACAACTACCCTATGAAGATAAGTAGCACTGTTATCTCATTCTACAGATGAGGAAACTGAGGTACAGGGAGGTTGAATAACTTGTGTCAGCTCAAAGAGCTAGTAAGAGGCAGACCTCAGGGTCTGACTCTGGAGAATAAACTGCTAGCCTGGCCACTGTCCTGCTGCCAGTCCTGTGGAGCCGAGGAGCAGAGCCCTCTGAAGGACCTGCTCTTATTCTTACAGGCCACCCACATCTCTGATCTCTGGGCCTAATGACTTGGCGCATTCTGGACTCTCTCCTAAAGCTCTTTCCCTCTCATTACAGATTCTGGTGGAGGAGGAGCCCCTGCATTCTCTCTTCAGCCCTGTGCGCCAGGAGGTCTTTGTCACCATCACTGACCTCAGGTGACACCCACATGCCCTCTACACATGCATCCTGGTTCTTCATTCAGGGCCAATAGCAAAGCCAACTGACATGTTCCATATTTTTAACTTCTCAAAACTATTTAGAGAAGTGGAAACCAAATCTATGTTTCGTGTAAGAACTTTGATTTCACGTATGCTACCATTTGTATTTGAAAGACCTTATTGGAACCTCCTTTGAGTTCGGTTTTGTCCCAAGAATATTCGGTGGAAGGTTACTACCATGTCTGTTTCATGACAGAGTTCCACTGTGCAAGAGATTTGGAAGGGCTGTCTCCTTGGAAGTTCATACTGCACACTAACTGATTAAAGGTCCCGAAAAGTCCCATAGTTTAAAAAGTTTTTAACTTGGTTTAACTTGCCATTCCCCAAACTAACAAACCCTTGATAGAGCAGAACACTCTCCTTGGCAGAACACACTTTGAAAAATCGTGCTCTACTATATTAGACTGTAGCAGGCTTCTCTTCCATGGTTGAACTGAAGGAAAAGCCTCGAAGGATGTCTCTCCAGTGACCTCCGGGGCAGGCAGGGAGGGTAAGGGGAGAAGGATGGAGGCTCTGAGCCTGAAACTCTTTCTCTAACCTTTTGTAAGATGTATCTAAACAGACTGACAAGCAAGCCATTGATCTCTTTCATCAGAACGTTATACCGATCAGTCTATTCTTTCCTTTTGGGTTACTTTGATCTCTGCTTATCAATGTCAAGTCACACCCTTCCCCATTTGCTATTCCCAAGCTGTCTTTTTCTAGTTACCAAGATGTCCATCTGCTGTTTGGCTCTGAAGATCGAGTTAACTTGTTTAGTCTTATCATCAAAAGTATAATCACTCTGCCCTCTGAAAAGACCCTTACCCAGCTGCAGGAAATCAAACCAAGTGGGTCCTGCAAATCAGAGGTAACTCACACTTTGCTTTAATAACTTGGAGAGTGCATTTGATATTTTTGGAACTAGCCAAAAACCATTTAAACCAAGTCTGGTAAATAGAATAGGTGGTTAAATAGCTTTTTCTTATTATTTTGTCTTCTTTTCCCTTGCTTTTGGCTTTAAAATAAGGTGGAGCGTTCATATACTTAGCAGATATGTAGGGTTACCATGTGCTAAGCATCATGAGAGGCAGCAGAAATAGAGCAGTACACTCTCTGATCCAGGGAGCTTCTATCCTAGTGCAGAGATACAATTCGCCAGTAAATACACTATCAGGTGGTAGTGAGTGCTGTGAAAAATTAAAACAGGGAAAGAAGAGGATAAAGAGTACTGTGGGTGGGAGGCACGGGGGCTTTCTACAGAGGGTGGTCAGGGAAAGCTCCCTGTGACAGTTGAAGAGAATGTGGATATCTCTGGAGGAGAAGCTTTCAGGCAGAGCCAGGAGGAAGTGCAAAGGCCTTGATTTTCCTGCCACTAGAAAACTGGTTGGGAAAGCAATTGCTAAAGGCAACTTTATTCCCCTTTGTTTCAAGATGTCAGAAAGAGTCACAAGTCAAACTTTAAAAGTACTTTGATGCCCCTAAGTGATTCCCCAAATGTAGTTAGAATCAGTTAACTATCTTCCCACTAATGTTGCGATGTCCATGTAATGTGAATAGATATTGTTTCACAAACTGCCTCCCGACACTTTCACACTGGGTCTGCAATGTTAAGTAAATGATAATGAGGAGAGCCTTAAAAGTGTGCAGTGCTGGGGAACTCGCATGGATGGCATCACTTATCCCTGTGCCTTTTCAGTGTCTCTACAGGCAGACGTTTCAGGTCTTCTCTGAGATGCTCCAGAGTTTGGTGGTAAAAGACCCACATTTGGAAAATTTTGACATCATTTTGAAGGTAAACAGGCTATCAGGAGAGAATGGGAAAGTTAATAGTTATATTAAATGGTAAAAGTGGGAGAAAATGTGGCAGGATTAAGTTTTAAGAGATAGCATAATAGTTAAGAGTATTCGCTATCCATTTTGAGTCAGACTTGAGTTCAAATTCCAACTCTCTGCTATTCATTGGTTATAAATTCAGCAAGAATGTGATTTTTCAAAGTCTCATTTTTTTCACCTTTACATGAGACAATAATTACTGTATTAAATAAATGGCTTTCAGTTTAAGTGGTTGCTGTATTCCTTAAATTATTATTGCTTACTACCACAGAAGGGTTTCAATCAGTGACCAGAGAATAGAGTCAGCCTCATGAATGAGCCAGGTGAGACTTAATTGTTATTAATGCCTACCTGCTCTCACCTCTACTGGTCCCAGCAGATGCCATTCCATCCTTAGAAATTTATTCATTGGAGCGCATTCACTGCACTCAAACAACTCACTCTCTTGGCCCTTTTCAAGATGTAGCTATCTCAAAAAGGGATAGCCCTTTAAACTATTATTAATCATTTGTGCCTAAGTGCAGGTGGTCATTTATCATTGCCACAATCAACCTTAACATTATTTCTCATTTTTCTTATTTTTGTACATCAACACTGCAGCCAGATTGGCTTTCTTTCCTTTATCCAGTTGTGCGTTAAACTTTCCTGCCTTGGCAACTAAATTCAAGCCATTTCTTCTTTATGAAGCTCCTACTCATGGACATTATATTTTCCATGAATCCGTCCCTGACTGTTCTAGGCAGATACAATTTCCCCATCTTCAGAGTTCTTTAATAGCATGTCATTAATTTCCTGTCTTTCCAAAGCAGGTTTCAGAAAGCTGAAAAAATATAGAAGAATAGGATAAATAATTGAAGAAAGTGGGATGAAGGGAAAATAAGCCTAGGAAATAAGCCCCTAAGAAAGCTGGACCACCTGATCCCCTAGGTCTTTGTGCCTCGTTTGTCATCCGCCATTTTTATTTCCAAAACAAGTTTATAATTTAGGAAAATATTTTCAGACATAGTAGTGACATGTGGAACTTCTCTCCAAAAACAGAATAAAGGTGTTATCCCAGATCTTCCCAATAAATCATTTAGGCTCCCTTCATTTTTCATAGCACATGGACCCATGGTTACAATCAATTAAAGGCCATGAGCGGGAAAGAGCCGCAGCCAGCATTGCTCAAGTTCTAAAGTGCTTATGCATGCATCTCAACTTGAAGGTAAGCTGCCCTTCAGTTGCAGAGGAGGAAGGATCCAAAGCCATCCTATCACTGCCTATTTCCCCTCCTATTTATGACTCCCAGACTTATGACTCCTCGGTGCTCAGGCATTATTCATATATCTCCCCCTCTCCTAAAATTCAAGCACTTTGAGGCCAGGTACTGGGTTTATTAATCTTGTATCCTCGTTGCTTAGCACAATATAGTAAATGTTTTTAAATGAGTAAATAAATGTAATCTAAAAATATCTGAGGGCCCATGTTAATAGCCACTGTTGACATTTTTTTTAATTCCTTCTGAGGATGTTTTGTGCATGAGTGTGTTGGGATGGGGGCTTCTACTTCAGTTCCTTCCAGTTCTCTATATGTAGCCAGAGTAATCTTCTTAAAACCCACATCACTTCTTTGATCCAATAATTTCCAACTATTTTTAGAATACAAGGTCTTGTATGATATAGTGCCTGCCTGCCCACTCCAGCCACATTGACCTCCCTTACATTCTTTATCATCTAAAGCTCTTCCTGTTTCATGGCCTTTGCATTTACTATGTCCTCTGCTTGGAATAACCTTCCCTAACTCTTCACATAGCTAACTTCTCCTCAATCTTCAGTGCTCAGTTTAAATGTCTCCACCTCAAAAAGGCCTTTGCTTACAAATAGATCTACCCTTGTTCTCTCTCTCTCTTTCCTTCCTATGACTTCTTAGAATCAAAGGTTATCTTGTTTGATTATTTTTATTGGTCCAATAAAAATGGATTTATGGTCCATTTTCCTCTAGAATGTAAATTTTATCAGTGATTATGTGTTCTTGTTTACCACAGCATCCCCAGTGCTTAGCACAGAACATGCTACATGTAGATGCTCAATTAAATATGTACTGAATAAATGTAGGTCAGCTCAGATGCCTTCTCTGCTCAGAACCCTCCAATGGCTTCCCGGCTCATACAGAATAAAATTCTTACAATATTCTCTAAGTCAACGGTTCTCAACCTGTGGGTCGTGACCCCTATGGCGGTTGAACGACCCTTTCACAGTGGTCGTCTAAGACCATCCTGCATATCAGATATTTACATTACGATTCATAGCATTACAGTTATGAAGTAGCAACAAAAATAATTTTATGTTTGGGTCACAACATGAGGAACTGTATTTAAAGGGCCAGAAGGTTGAGAACCACTGCTCTAAGTTGTTATGTGATCTGGGCCCATCTTCATCTACCTCCCATTTCTTTTGTTTCTCATTTACTCTGCTCCAGCCAACCTCACCTACTTGCTCCTCAGAAACACCACATACTGTCCCTTCTCATTGCACTTGTTATTCTCTCCGTCTGGAATGTCTTTCCCTCAGATTTCTACATGGTGCAGTCCCTCATTTTAACATTATTGAGATCGTCTCTGACCATTCTAAAATAGCAATTCCTATCCTTATCCTCTACGTTTTTCTTCATCATGGTATATATCACTATTGGATACATAGACATTTACTTCATTTTTTCCTTTATATTCCTCCAGTTAGAATATCATCTCCATGAGTAGGGATGTTATCTGTTGTTCACTGTCTATATCCCCAGTGCCAATCATAGTGCCTTAGCCATAAGTGCCATAGTCATAACCAGTTCCTGGCTTATAACTGACACATAGTATTTGTTGATTGAATGAATGGACGAAAGCTATACCAGTGAATGAAAGATATTATACAGTTTTGTATATGTGTTGCTGTGTTGTCTGTAAATAAGTTGTAGAGGCTACTGTTCACAATATCTCAGTGTATTTTTCTGAAGAGCCACCGAAGAAATTTCTTTCTGACTCAGTCCTAGAAACAGTTGTGTTTTCCCTCCATGGCTATTTGCTTCTTGTCTTATGGGCAATTTGAATTATATTATATGGGACATTGCATTAGTCCTGAGAAAATTCAGCGCTGAGCTCCGGTGCATAGCTCCATGGCCTATCTCAAGCAAATGATGACTAGAATTCTGCATACTAACCAAATTCTTAGCTTCATTTATCTTTTCTACATTCATTTTTTAAATTTATCCCGCTTTCTTCACTATTTATTTTAAATTACATTTCTTTTGCTGATATGGCTTTTGCCTGCTACTTTACTTTTTTTCATAATAAAGCAAACTATCAATAAATAAATTTTAAAGTAGTATTTAATGGTACACCTCAACTTTGTATCCAACTTTTTCACTTATTAGACTAGCAACACCTTATTATAAATTCCTAGGATACTTAATTTCTAATTATTATATTCAAAGTGGCTAAACAATAGTTCTCTTTACTATTGGATAATTTTTTTTCAATGTGGGGTCTTTAAAAACAGTGCTAGAATGAACATCTTTACGTATAAACTTTTTGAAATTTCAGATTGCTTACTTAGTTTAGAAGTTACCACATTTACTATCATTTGCTGGACATATTGTATCCATACATGTTAAATGTTAACTTTCAAGAGACCCAAGGGCTGAATGCAACTCTTGCACTTCTCTTGAATAGATGGTGGAAGTGGAATTACTTCTCAACAACTTAAATCTAAGGCACTAAATACACCTGTATTCCAATGGCATTTTTCTTTTCTCTCAACTAGCTTCCACTGCGATTCCAAAGACTTGGACACCTAGTGGCTCTAATGGTTCTACTGTGTGGAGACCCACTGAAAGAGGTGGCTGAGGAGGCTGCAGAGAGCACGTACTACCTGCTGCACATCACCTTGCGGCTGAAGTGTAAGGCACCGCTGAAAGCAGCCAAGCCCTACATAAGTTCTCTAGCACAACACAAGCTCCAGTCCTCCTGCGCCCTCACTCCCCCACATCCTAGAAAGCCTTTTTTACAGTGGTTTACAGTGAGAAAGGTTCATAGTCCATAGGCCGAGATGGAGCAACACTGACTTAATAATTAGAATCATAACACTGGGTCAGACCCACAGTGTCAGCCATATACATGGCCATGGAGTTAAGAGTATCTAAACATGTAACACTCTGGACATGCTGGAGTGATTAGTTTGGACAGAAGTAGAAGAGGTTCTTGCCATTATTTGGGCCTTCGTTCATTTATTTATCTCATAAATGTTTACTGAGTACTTACTTGGGATACAATAGTAACCAGAATATAAGCCATCCAGTCCTTATATGACATAGTCTAGAGTGTGAGTCAGACAATCAAAGAATCAACAAATAACTATTATTATAAATAAAGATAACTGCTGTGAAGGGAAACCATAGGGGTTATGAGTAAGAATTAAATCTAGTGTGGGATTCAAAAAAGTCTCTGAAGATAATCTGAAAAATAAAGAATATTAGCAAGGAGGTATGATGACCTCCATGCTTCCCAAAGTAATAATCTAATCTCTGGGCAGCTCCAAGTATGAGGACAGTTTACCAAGACATACAATTAAGGAACTACAACTGATTATTCATTCAAGAAGTATTTATGAACCATTTATTGTTTTTAAGGGGAGCACTGGTGAACAAGACAAAGTCCCTTCCCCTAGAAGCTTATTTTCTAGTTGGAGAGACAGTATCCTCAACCAAGGGCTCAAAGACTTCCCATAGATAAGTTTCTAGGGAACATGAGAAAAACAGGGCACTGCGAGGGAGTACTGGCAGACTCAACAATCAGCAAAACCATACACATAAAAAATTCTGATATCAGAATTATCAGACACAGTACAAAATTGTGCAACTTTTTTTGTGGGGACCTGAGTTTCATCGGGAGATCCCTCAAAAGTCTTGTCTTGGTTGTACTCCTGACTCACTCAAAAGCTCTGCTCTTACAAAAAGCTCTTCTTTTTCTTTCAGCCCTTCTTGTATGTTGTCCTATAACAGAGGGGAAACAAATCAGCCTTCAGATTTACACACACTCCTTCCCCAGGCATTTTTATTCAAATGAAAAAGACAAGAAGAGTGATATCTTGGGATTCATTTCAACCTGGAAATCAACCAAACTTGCAAAATTGGAAGAAAGAAATAAGCCAGAAAGTATCAATATTTCATATTTTCTTCTCAGATATCACTGAGGACAAGAAAAATCGCCCAATCTTGAGAGGAGCAATGAAAAACTGTCAAGAACTCCTAGAATTCTACAGTATTAAACAATTCTACGCGTGTCCCTTCAAAATTGCCAAGGTAATCAGAATGGCAAAAATTAAGACAAACATCTTGAAGTGTTGGAGAGGATGAGAAACAATCAGAAGTCTCGTACATTTGTTGACGGGAATGTAAAATGGTAAAAATACTTTGGGAAAAGTTCTGGCAATGTATTGTATGGGGCCAATATCACTGGATAGCTCTTCAGACATGCTCTGCTCCCATTAATTGTCCCCCTAACCCTAGCCAGCCTCTTGCATGTATAAAACCTTGTTACAAAAAGGAGCTGTAAAAGAATGTAGTTGAGCCAAAAAGCCATACACTTTTTAGTTAATGTATTTATTCATTATTCACCAAATATTTAAGCATCTACTAGGTACCAGGCACTATGTTAGGGAATATGAGGGAAAAGAAAACCTACAGATCTTGTTCATGTAGGGTCAAAGGTATCAGGTAATTTTAATTCTCTGCATCAGTTTCCTCATCTGTACAAGGGGGATCTGTAAAAATTAGGATCACTCAAATGCTGTAAGGGTTAAATGAGATGCTTGTATGGAAAATGCCTTGCTTAGTGCCTGTCACATAGTAAGTGCCTAATCAGTTATACCTATTAAAATCAAGGGAAGGACTTTATACACTGGCAAGTGCAATGAGAAGCAGAATGACACATTCTTTTAATACATTGTCTCCAGACAAGGTATTTTAGCGATGCCTCGGACTCCGTCAGCCATACTAGTTTAGCACTAGGGCCTTTCCTTTAATTCTGTTCCTATAAAAGTGGGACTCTTTCTGCGGATCTCAGTAATAAACCTTCTTACTAAAAGTCAGAGCTATAAAAGGCCATGCACAGACCCAGCAGTGGACATTTGGGTTACTTTCAGCTTTTCACTTTTATAAACAAAATTGAAGTAAGCAGCATTGTACATACTACTATTTAAACTCTTCTCTGATTATTAACTTATAATTGATTCCTTGTTCAGGGCTCTGTCATACTATGTAACTTGGAAGTTCATTTTTCTTAAATCATTTCAGATCTTCGAAGTTTTACTCGATTCAAATGAGCTCTGCCAGTTTGTAGTGACTATATTGGATGGCCTAAAAAATCTGGAACATTCCTGTACCCAGCAATTAGCCGGAGAATTGCTGATGTCATTGGTAGAAAATGTGGAGTTCCGATTTGAGGAGGTAAAAAGCTGCATGGCTCTTTCCTGGGTTTAAAATATCAGCTAGAGCTCTCCTTCCTGCAGCTGCTCAGATCTCTCCTACTGCTTCTTTTCAGCTGACAACAACTACTGATGGAGACCAAGGCCACCCTTTAGTCCATTTGGTCAATGTTGAATATTCATCCTTTCAACAAGTATATCATAAATGACTACTGTGTATACAGCTAGGGCGGGAAGTTTTTTAAAATCTAAGGTGTAATCCATATTTTTCAGAAGAGTATTGTTTTGCTGGGAAGATATAATTAACACATGAGAATGGTAACTTCAATTTAGATCCTCATTCAGGTTAATTAATGGTGTTAAATTTTTATTTTTTTTAATATATGTTTATTGATTTGAGAGAGGAAGGAAGAGAGAGATAGAAACATCAATGATGATAGAGAATCATTGATCGGTTGCCTCCTGCACACCTCCTACTGGGGATCGAGCCCACAACCTGGGCATGTGCCCTGACCAAGGATTGAACCATGACCTCCTGGTTCATAGGTTGACTCTCGGCCACTGAACCATGCTAATCAGGCAGTGGTGTCAAATTTTTAAAAATCAAGCCATCGGTGATCCTAGAAGGGGGCCAACTTAGTAAGTATAAAATAAAGAAAGTTTATGTAAATGTATCGAAAACGGAAACATCAGGAAATAACAATGTAATTATATCACTTAGAAATATGGAAGGACATGGGAAGCGATAAAAGTAGTTATCTCTGAATAACAGACCCAGGGGATAGACAAGAGAGAGCCTTGAAATACCACTGGACCTTTAAAATTGTGTGCACTTTGGTAAAAATAAAAAGTAATTCTTAAATTATGAAAACCCATTTTTAAAGCTATTAAAATAGCAAAGATGCAAAAAGAACAATATAATTAGAGCACAATGAGATGGACACATATCAATTGGGTACTTTCAGGTGTTAAAAAATAAACTAAGAAGATTATGCCAAGAGTTTATCATTTCATATAAGAAGTCAGGAAGTAGAGTATATGTTCTAGGATTAGTTTGGTGACTCAACAGTGTTATCAGAGAGACAGGGGCTTTTTGCATCTTTCTGCTTTGCCTGTTCATATAGCCAGAGGTACTTGCCACAGTTTCAGACTTTATGACCCAGCAAAGAAAAGATGTTTTCCTTTTGTCCCTTTAATCAAAGAGGACACTCTTTCCTAATACCCTCCAGTGGATTTTCCCTCATGTTTTACTGGCCAGGACTGACATCACCTGCCATCCTTAAACCAGTTTCTGGCAGCTGCTGGTAATGACAGCCATTTTATATGAGGTTGTTGAGGACTGCCTCTCAGACACTGACATTTCCACAGAGCCCTGAAGTGATGAGTCTGTGCGCAGGAAGAGTAGTTCAAATAGAGAAATGGACCAAAGCCCAATGGCAGGTATGACTCCTCTGCCAATCTCAGAGTCAAAGTGAAAAAATCTCAGCTTTCTTGCAACACTAAATTTAGTAATTTATCTTATTATAAAATCAATACATAATCATTAAAGAAAAATTAGAAACTATATAAGCAAAAGCCTGGCTGGCATGGCTCAGTGGTTGAGCATCAACTTATGAACCAGGACATTGTGGTTTGATTCCCAGTCAGGGCACGTGCCCAGGTTGTGGGCTCGATACCCAGTGGGGAGCATGAAGGAGGCAGCCGATCAATGATTTTCTCTCATCATTGATGTTTCTTCTCTGAAATCAATAAAATATATATATATAAGCAAAAAATTAATATCACTCAAAGACACATTACTGACATCTTTGTATATATGGTCTTCCAAAAACTTTTATACGCATATACTTACATACAGATAAGTTTTAAGTAGATTTGATAATAAACTTTAAAAAAAAAAGATTCTGTTTTAAAAGTCATCCCAGGACCTTTCAGAAATAACCACAATAGTCTCAGTAACTATCAATGTCCCACAGGATAAGGTCTTAGTCATTCCTTTTCCTCTTTAGGTACCAGAGATTGTGGGAGTTATCTGTGCCCAGCTATCCATGATCAGCCAGCCTAGTGTCCGCCAACAAGTCATAACTATCGTGAGTTTGCTTATCTCCAGGCCCAAGTACACAGATACAGTGATCAGCTACCTTCTGTATCATCCAGTACCATATGACAGGTAACAGAACCTAATACAACCTCTGGGTGTGTGACACATGGTTGTAGTATTGTAGAACATGGTTGCCCTAAAAATTTATCCTTATAAGGAGATAAGATATAAACAGATGCCTGCAATATAAGTCAGAATATAATGCTAAACACAAAGAAATAATTCAACAAATCCAGAATAGAGAACATTTACAAGATGGTTAGGCTGAACTCTTCAAAAAAGTTAATGTCACAAAAGAAAAAATGGTGCTGGGAGCACTGTTCTAGAATTTTAAAAAAGGAGAGACATAGCCAAATGCAATATGTAACTTTGTTTGAATCCTGGATGAAAAGCAAATGCTAAAAATTTTTGAGGAAATTTAAGTAGGGACTCTATGCTAGATTATTAAATAAATGTAATTTTCTGAGGTGTGAAATGATAATATGGTTATACAAAAGAATGTCCTTATTCTTAGGAGATAGATGTTGAAGTATTTAGGGATGGATGTCACAATGTCTGCAATGCACTTAAGAAAGATTTAGCAAAAAATAGATACAGCCCTGACCAGTTTGGCTCAGTGGCTAGAGCAGGGGTGGGCAAACTTTTTGACTCGAGGGCCACAATCGGTTCTTAAACTGGACCGGAGGGCCGGAACAAAAGCATGGATGGAGTGTTTGTGTGAACTAATATAAATTCAAAGTAAACATCATTACATAAAAGGGTACGGTCTTTTTTTTTTTTTTAGTTTTATTCATTTCAAACGGGCCGTAGTTTGCCCACGGCTGGGCTAGAGCATCGGCCTGTGGACTGAAGAGTCCCAGGTTCGATTCTGGTCAAGGGCATGTACCTTGGTTGCGGGCACATCCCCAGTAGTGGATGTGCAGGAGGCAGCTGATGGATGTTTCTAACTCTCTATCCCTCTCCCTTCCTCTCTGTAAAAAAAATTAATAAAATATATTAAAAAAATAGATACACATTTTTTAAAAAAGAGTAGAATCATAGAGAGGAACAAACAAGATGTTTGTTTTGAGGTTGTTGTTTTTTTAGATTAGTGATAAGTGGTTTTCATAGTTGGAGGCCCCCGGGAAGTTCCAGGAGATGCCTTATGGGGAAGGCAGTGAGGCATCAGGAGAGGGCTCCAGGTGCCCCCATCCCCACTCCACTTTACCCAGAGTAGCACCCCTTTTATCTGCTTTATAGTATATTGTGATTCTGGGTAATTATTTAATTTGAAGAAAAGATTTCTCAGCTTTAAACTGTTCAAAAAACACTTTCAATGAATGGTTCCACAGAATGTTTTGGTATAGTGCCGATGTTTTTATGAGCTGAACTTACACATTCTGCCACTAAATCAAATACAGGATGACTTTAACTCATCCAAAGGAAAAAAATAGTTCATACAGGTTTTTAAAAAAATATTCTGACTTTTATATATTTCTGTAATGTATTTTTAAATCTTTACTACTTGCTTCAGTTTAGCTACACTAGATTCTTGTGTAAAGCACTTGATTTAGTATAAATATTAACTATATCTAGCTATTTTAAGTGCAATTTTAGCATTATTTTATTGTTTGTATGTGTTCTAGCTCTTGGATGACTTTGAGAAAGAACTACTGCTTTAGATCATATGAGAATGTGGATTCTGTTAGAAATAAAATGACTTAGGAAACTTCATTCTGATTATGTTTTTGGTCACTTACCTGAAGCCCATTAGTTTGTTTACAGATCGGCGTAATTGTTCTTAGGAGTCTGTGTGCTGTTAGGCACTGGGGAAATAATGGACAGGACATGGAACCTCCCTCTAGCAGCACACTATTTGGTAGCAGACATAGATGAATAACAGAGGATCCCAAAGCAAAATAAGAGAGTTCTGTGGAAACCCCTAGGAGGAAACTTAATTAGATGAAGGGTTGGTAAAGGATTTCTGAAAGAAAGGATGTCCCTAGCTGAGTTTTTAGTGTAAATTACCATGTAGATGGTAGGATGGGGGATGGGAAGAGACCAAAAGTATAGAGAAAATAAATACCAGGAAGGTATGAAACAGTTTAATGAATGCTCATTCCCAAATGATGGGCAAACAAAAACAATGTCACATCTACAGACTCAGTATCACTGAAGTGAGACCTGTTTCTTATTTTTAACAAACTCCCAGATGATTTTTTTCACACTAAACTTTGAGAAGGCTTATAGGCCCGTGTGTGTGTGTTCCTAATTCAAATGCATTCCCAGCACACTTAGAGATGTGCAGAACCAAAAGTATTTTGAAACACTTCTTACACAGTAAATAGCTTTTTCTTTTTAAAAATACGTTTTTATTGATTTTGGAAATAGGAAGGGACAGAAAGAGAAACATCCATGAGAGAGAGAAACTTTGATCGGCTGCCTCCTGCAAGGATCGAGCCTGAAACCTGGGTATGTGCCCTGATTGGGAATCAAACCTTTGACCTTTTGGTGCAGAGACAACGCTCAACCAACTGAGCCACACCGGCCAGGGCACAATAAATAGCTTCTTAAGTACTTTATCTACTCCCTCAGGAATTCAGAGAAAAAAATCAAGAGTAAGTAAATATAGGAATTTCTTAGTTTCACCCCAGAATGAATGTTAATATTCTACAATCTGTTTCCCCAGTCAAGAGCCTTTTCAATATCCCACACTGCATCTATCTTCCCTTCAGGAATTCTTTAGAAACTTACTTTGTTTTATTCACAGACTAGAGGCCTAGTGAACGAATTCGTGCACAGATGAGGTCCAGACGGCCTGCTCTGATCAGGGTGATCAGGCCCAGCTGGCCGGGGGGAGGGGCCACGGGTGGTTGGCCAGCTGCCCCCGCCCCCTGGTCAAACTCCAGGTTGAACGTCCCATCGAGGGGATAATTTGCATATTAGCCTTTTATTATATAAGATTCATATTACCAAAGTAAGGAGCAGAAATGTAGGAATAATCTTTAAGCCTCTCAGTTTTTTAGAGTGATTCTGAGAAGGTAGTTGCTTTACAAAAACACTGAGTCTAGCACACAAAGATACCTAGGTAGATTTTGAGTTAAAACATGAGTAGCTCCCAATCTTCTCATCTTTCCCCATAATGCTCCTCCACAGTGTTTATATAAGTCAGGCCCTACCTTTGAGTCAGTGATAGAAGAGAAGTTATTACATGCTACTTTTAAGAAGAGATACCTTCTAAAGAAGATCAAAGCTTTATTTCAGCCGAAACCGGTTTGGCTCAGTGGATAGAGCGTCGGCCTGTGGACTGAGGGGTCCCAGGTTCGATTCCGGTCAAGGGCATGTGCCTGGGTTGCGAGCACATCCCCAGTGGGAGATGTGCAGGAGGCGGCTGATGGATGTTTCTCTCTCATCGATGTTTCTGACTCTCTATATCTCTCCCTTCCTCTCTGTAAAAAATCAATAAAATATATATTTTTTAAAAAGCTTTATTTCAAGGCTTGATCTTAGCCAAAATTTGAAGACCATATACTAGATTGAATAAGTATGTCTTTAAATGCCTTCTGTAAGCTTGGCATTGTGCTAGGCCCTGAGGGATTCATAGAAGCCAGAGGTATTCCCTGCCTCAGAGGTAACAGGTGGACACACCTACAGAGAACTGACAATAGCACATTGAGACTGAGGCAACCTCTGTAACAAACAAATTTTTAAAGTGTTGTGGGCACTCTCATGAGTGACATGGTGATGAAGCAGCATAGAAAAGAGGACTTTGGAGCTGGACCTAGAAGGATGTTGATGGGCAGAGGAGAGTTTTGGAAAGGGCCTTTCAGTTTAAGGAAATGACTTGAGCAAAGATGTAGGGTTTTCAAAGTTCATTGCTTATTTGGTGAAGGTGAATAGTTTGGGTAGCTAGAGCACAAAGTATGTGATAGGGAAGTTATGAGACTGAAAAGGTAAGTTAGGGCCAGTTTGTGAATGTCTTGAAGTCTGTGCTAAAGCAATGGGAACTTTGGTCTATAAAACCTTGGGAATTACTAGTACTGTTTTGAAATCAGAGAGTAAGTGTTTTGCTACCCTGAAGAACTAAACAGCAGGAAACCTCTTATAGATTGGATTCTAAACAGACTCTAAACCAGCCGTGGGCAAACTACGGCCTGCGGGCCAGATCCGGCCCTTTTGAAATGAATAAAACTAAAAAAAAAAAGACCGTACCCTTTTATGTAATGATGTTTACTTTGAATTTATATTAGTTCACACAAACACTCCATCCATGCTTTTGTTCCGGCCCTCCGGTCCAGTTAAGGAACCCATTGTGGCCCTCGAGTCAAAAAGTTTGCCCAGCCCTGCTCTAAACACATTGTGGTCATGATAGGCCTGGAATAAGCCATTTTCCTGAACCTTCTTACTCTGGTTTTCTAGAAATCTGGCTGAGATGTGGAGAACTCTGAAGGTGGAGGTGCCCAGCACAACTGGGATCCTGTCGAGGCTCCTGAGGAAGCTGCAGACATGCCATAATGAGCCCACCCAGGAGAAGATGGCCTATGTGGCTGTTGCTGTAAGCCATTGAGCTGTGCTCCTCCAACTTCAGCCCACCATGCTTCCCCCTTGGGATGACTGGCCCAACACCCTATCTGGAGAGTGTTCCTTTTGGTTCCTCTCAAAGTTTGCTTCTGTCATCCATTTATAAATCTAGAGTGTCTCTACCAATGGATTGACATGGATGGGGCTGAGGAAAGTGAAGCAATCAGTATGGTTTATAAGTTTTAAACATTCCTTCCCTCAACCTTAAAAGATATATATCATCATAGTTAAAAGTAATACAAACTTGTTAAAATTTTTTTCAAATAATACAGAAGAATATAAATTAGAAAGCAAAGGTCCTCCTTAAGCAGAGGTTTGCAAACCTTTTCTGTAAAGGACCAGATGGTAATGTTTAAATAATGGCCGTACCATTTCCCTAAAAATGAACTTTTTAGAAGTGTTTATACATAAATGAAGTTTTTGTATATGTATTTGGTATACTTTTTCCTTTTAAATAGACTTTATTTTTTAAAAAGATATTTTTATTGATTTCAGAGAGGAAGGGAGAGGGAGATAGAGATAGAAACATCAATGATGAGTGAGAATCATTGATCAGCTGCCTCCTGCACGCCCCACACTGGGGATCGAGCCCGCAGCCTGGGCATGTGCCCTGACCGGGAATCGAACCATGACCTCCTGATTCATAGGTCGATGCTCAACCATTGAGCCACACTGGCCAACTAAACTTTATTTTTTAAAGAGTTTTAGGTTTACAGCAAAATTGAGCAGAAAATACAGCGTTCCTAGGTACTCCCTGTCCAGTATATGCGCAGCCTCCCCCTCTTATCCACATGTACTTTTTACTTTATTTTCTTTCCAACCAGTTTATGGTTCAGCTTTCCCTGACCTAAGCTACCATCATCACACTTTTTAGCTTCCAAAAATACTTTGACATCTCTAGTCTGCTATTGTCTCCTCTCCTATTCTGGTTCTTGTAGATTTATGCCTTCTTAAAAATCCCTGTAATGCCATTTTAGTGCAATTCTAGGAGTTAGGACAGATAAAGCTATTTAACTATATTAGTCTATAAAATTATTTGTGCATATACATATACATATATGTATATATATATATGATCATAATACATACTCTTTGATGACCTGCTGTTTTTATTTAACAATATATTACTACTTTCCATATCAATATATGAGGCTCTCTGTTATCTTTTTCATGGTTGAATAGTAATTTATTTTCAATTACTTTTTTAAAAAATAGGTAATACATAGTATTGAATCATTTATTTTATTATCAAGTTTCATATAAGTGAATATTTTAATAATTTTTAAACTTTTGCCATTAAAACAGTACTGTAGCAGACATAAATTTTGTTATACTGTACATACCAATTATTTAGGATAAAGTCCATTGAAGGGGAATTTCTAGGTCAAAGGGTGGGATTATTTAAACTTCTGATAATTTTCCCAGATGGTCCTCTAGAATGTTGCCCTCCTACCAGTCATGTACGAGAATGCCCATTTACCCACCCTCTCACTACATTGAGTATTACCAGTCTTTTTATTGTTGCCTACCTGATAGGTTAAAAAGAAACATTTTGTTTTTGTTTTTTAAATTTATCTTTATTGTTAAAGTATTACAGGTGACCCCTATATCCCCCAGTAATCCCCTTCAAAAGGAACATGTTTTAATTATAATTTTGTTATTGGTGAGGTGAAACATTTGTATATATTCTTTTTTAAAATCTTCATCCAAGGATATGCCTTTCATTGATTTTCAGAGAGAAAGGAAGATAGACAGAGAAACATCTATGTGAAAGAGAAAAACACTGATTGGTTGCCTCCTGCACACGCCCCAACTGGGACCAAACCCGCAACCTAGGTATGTGCCCTGACCCGGAATCAAACGCACAACCTTTTGGCGTACAGCATCATGCTCCAACTGACTGAGCCACCGGACCAGGGCTGTATATGTTTTTTAATTGGTTATTTATAATTCTTCTTTTGTAACTCATCTGCTCATGTCCTATATACCAGTGCATCTCAGTTTTAATATGCACACAAGCCACAGTCATCTAGAGATCTAATTGAAATACAGATTCTGATGCAGAAGGTCTGGGGTAGGGCTTTTTATTCTCCATTTTTAACCAGCTCTCATGTGATGCCAGTGCTACTGCTGTGTGTGGCCCACACTTTGAGTAGCAAGCCTTAACATTTTTTTTCTTACTGATATGTGAGAGCATTGTATATATTAAAGATATCACATTGATGCAAATACTTTCCCAGATTATTATATTCTAACTTTGTTAATCATAAATTTTGCTTTGGCTTTTTATTTGCATGTAAATATGATAATAGTTTCCTTGATAGTTTACTTCTGGGTTTCAGGACTCCCCCTCACTCTTTGACAACTTTTAATTACCACTTTACTCCTATTCCTTTCCCCCCCTCACTTTCATGTTCCTGCACTGAGTACCACTACTATTGTGCCTATGAGATAGTAGAACCAGAAAGCATGTTCTGGCACAAGCAGAAGTAAAGCAAGAATAACGATTAGGGCTAGCATGTTCAGCTCTGCTGTGTGCCTTTTCTACCACAGGCAACAGATGCCCTTTATGAGGTGTTTATGGGAAACAAGCTCCAAGAAGCTATGTTCCAACTCTTTCCTCAGCTTCTCATGACACTGCTCATCCAGATTCACCACAGCATCGACCTCACCATGTCTGAAGTCGCCATCCCACCTGGCCTGTACAAAGAACAAGAAATGTCTTCAAAGGTTACTCCTTTGTGGTACTGCCCATTGTGATTTTATTGACCTTAACTAACACTTTAAGCACCGGGCACAGTAGTAGATGCAAGGATGGCCAAGATGTGGTCCCAACTGTGGAAGCACTTACAGTCTCCTACCTTCATGAGACATCAAGATGAAATGCCTAGGAATTATTCTGGCTGTTATTGGTTTTCCTTGGTTTTATTGATGCCAAGATAAATAAGGCTATCTGGGTCCAGATGCCCTGCAAAATAATGTGTGATATCATGCAAGCCCTTTTTGATAAATCAAGTAGAGACAGAATTTAGCAAAACAGCCTTAAACCCACCTCCAAAACCATACTGATCCATAATTGAATAATTCCCTATTTCTGCTTTATTGCACAGAGAGGTATTTTTAGTTTCCAATTAGGGTATCAGTAGATTTTTTTAAAAAATATATTTTATTGATTTTTTACAGAGCGGAAGGAGAGGAATAGAGAGTTAGAAACATCAATGAGAGAGAAACATAGATTAGCTGCCTCCTACACACCCCCTATTGGGGATGTGCCCACAACCAAGGTACATGCCCTTGACTGGAATCGAACCTGGGACCCTTGAGTCCGCAGGCTGACGCTCTATCCACTGAGCCAAACCAGTTAGGGCTCAGTAGATATTTTTTAAGTGTTTCTGTGGCACATGGATCTCTTTCAGTGATGTTATGTCCAGGATACTAGTTCAATAAGTAATTTTTAAAAGTAATGGGGTAAAAAAAAAGTAATGGGGTAAATTTATAGGGTATAAATAAGTAGTATCTAAATAAAGCTTTTTTTTTAATATATTTTATTGATTTTTTACAGAGAGGAAGGGAGAGAGATAGAGAGTTAGAAACATCGATGAGAGAGAAACATCGATCAGCTGCCTCCTGCACATCTACTGGGGATGTGCCCGCAACCCAGGTACATGCCCTTGACCGGAATCGAACCTGGGACCTTTCAGTCCGCAGGCCGACGCTCTATCCACTGAGCCAAACCGGTTTCGGCTAAATAAAGCTTTTTAAAAAAGCAGTGAGCATCAGCTTAGCATCCCATATAATTTGTTTTATCATAGATTTCTTTCCAAATCCCAGGGAAACAAAATCTTGTTAGATTTCTCTATGCCTATAATTTGTGTGAGGGGACCTATCTAGTTCTTAGAGCATTCCAAGTTTTTTGGGGAATCTAGAAAGAAGAGAATTACAGTCTAGCAGCTATCAATGCCTGCCCTCCTCAGAGAGAGCAGGGTAATTGTGTGCTGTAAGTTGGAGGGGCCTGTTCTATTCACTTGTACTGTTTTTGTTTGATTTAGCTTTGCCATACAGGCTACAAAGACTCTCCTCCTCAGAACATTGTGCTTTCAGGAATTCAACATCATGGAAAAGAATGAAGGATGGGCCCTCCTGGCAGGAAAAGATTGCCACCTTCAGGGAGTATCTCTCCTTGCCAAGTAAGGCTTCCTTGACATGCATACATGCTCTAAATCAGCATTGTTTTAAGGTATTCTCCCCCCTTTAGTTACCACAACAACCAAGGTTGGATAACCTTCTCATCATAGGGTGGGCAAATACCCATAATGCCAGGCAAATTTTTCAGAGGTCTTGGCCCTGCCATACCCTCCTGTGCACCTGCAGCTGGGCAAACACTTCTGTGGGGAAAATGCTCTCTATTTAGGAAAATTTCTAAGAGCTGTTCTGTTGGTGTTCTGTTTTGCAGTGCATTGCTGGAAAGAAATCACGTCCTTGCACATAAGATCTTGTACTTGTTAGTCCCTCTTCTTAACCGAGGGAATGCTAAACATAAACTCACATCTGCAGGCTTTTTTGTGGAGGTAAGACTCCTTACTTAGAAGCTGGATTCAGGAAGTCTATAAAGCAGCAGGACCTGCCTTCCTAGGCCCTGTCCAACTTAGTGGCAGGCTATGATTCCTTTCAAACTTGGGATAGAAATAGTTTCAGATTCAAGCCTATTGAAATTTTTCTTTCCCCATATTCATCATTCAACATTCCTTATTTACCCCCAGTGTAGGCATCACCCTGTAATATATGTGCTGTATAGTAGAGGTTTTATAGGTAATAGTATTTTAGAGTTGGTGTGAAAGTGGCTCCTCTCATGAAAAAGGGCTCCAAGTTAACTTCTTTGGTTGATTTCTGGGTTCTTTCAGCTTCTCCAGAGTCCAGTGGCTAGGAGACTGCCCAGCATATACTCTATTGCCCGCTTGAAAGACTGGCTACATCATGGAAATAATATCTTTAAAATTCTCGCCCTGACGGGACTGTACTACATTATCAGACACCAGAAGATGGTAGGAGGGGCCCCCAGACTACAGATTCACAAGTCACAGATAAAACATACCCCAAAAAGACACACAAGAAACTGATAATAGCTGAGGCTGAAAATTGGGTGGTCTGGGCACATGGTGAGTGGGAGTACATACCTTTGTACCATTTGAAATGTATACCTAGAAAATATGCAAGTACAGATTATCAAGCATTTAATGAAATTTTAAAAAATAAAACAGCTAAGCCATACATATTCATAATACTTGAAACCTGCAGTTTGTGTACATTTCAAATCATTATCATCACAACATGGGCAACATTCGTGTGTCTTTTTATGCCTTGTACTATATTACCTTATCATCTAGGACAGCGGTTCTCAACCTGTGGGTCGCGACCCCTTTGGGGGTCAAACGACCTTTTCACAGGGGTCGCCTAAGACCATCAGAAAACACATATATAATTACATATTATTTTTGTGATTAATCACTATGCTTTGATTATGTTCAATTTGTAACAATGAAAATACATCCTGCATATCAGATATTTACATGACGATTCATAACAATAGCAAAATTACAGTTATGAAGTAGCAACGAAAATAATTTTATAGTTGGGGGTCGCCACAACATAAGGAACTGTATTAAAGGGTCGCAACATTAGGGAGGTTGAGGACAAGAGTCACTGACATTCATGTTGAAAGCTCATTTTCCACAGGCCTACTAGATGCTAAGCCAGGTCAGAAGAGAAAATTAACCCCTGAGGCTTCAGTTTTATCAGTTTAATTCTATTTTATTTTATTTCAAATACAGGGATGGGTAAAAATAGGTTTACAGTTTTGAGTACACAAAACACAGTTAATAAAGCTGTTGTAATCATTGTAACCTGCATGTCTTTCTCCATGCAAACAACTGTAAACCTACTTTTGCCCATCCCTGTGTATATCTGAAATTCTGGTTGATTGGATATATGAATATTTGTGGCTTATTCTATTTAATTTTTACATGTATGTGTTTTTTTTAAATATTTTTATTTCAGAGAGGGAGAGAGAGATAGAAACATCAGTGATTAGAGAGAATCATTAATGGGCTGCCTCCTACACGCCCCTACAGGGGATCAAGCCTGCAACCTGGGCATGTGCCCTTGACCAGAATCGAACCCGGGACCCTTCAGTCCACAGGCCGACACTCTATCCACTGAGCCAAACCAGCTAGGGCATAATTTTTACATGTATGTTTTAAATTTTAAAACCCTGAGAAGAACCCTTGTCAATTTCTGCTTGAATTCCTCCAGAGAATCTTTTAGCATCTGTTTGAATACCTTTCATGATGGGATACTTGCTGTGACCTAAACTAGCCATTCCACTTTCTCTCATTGTTAGGTGAACTGTTCCTTACATTAAGCCCAAGTACATATCACTTGACCTTCATGTGGTCCTATTTCTGCCCTGTGGGGCAGCTCACAACAGCTCTGCTTCCTTCTCTACATGTCAGCACTACCAGTGCTGACAGAGGGCAGTCTTGCCTTCTTTATTCTGTGTTCTTGAGTAGCCAAAAATTCAATAAGCACTGGGTACTGAGTAAAGGAGGGGAGCCCTACTTCGGTACCAGATGGAGTGCTATCAGGAGAGGTGGTGATGCACTCATTCCCTTTGGGCACACAGAGGGAAGACATCCAGAGCCTGTTGCCATGCATCTTAGACCTGTTGTGTGAATCTGATGAGAAGATTGTTTTGTTGGCCATCCAGATACTCCTGCTTCTCGTTAGAACAATGGATTTCTCTACCCTGGCTGCTATGATGAGGAAAATGTTCTCCTTATTTGGTGATGTAAGACAATGAAGGATACTTTCCTGGGGGGAAGATAATTGGTGTAACAGCAAATAGAAGTTGGGATAATAAAAAATACACTCTATTTTGTATAGTACTTTTTATGTTCAGAGCACTTTCAAATCTCCTCTCGTAGGCCCTTCCAGGTAATCCGTAATGTTGCTAGGGTTGGTGTTACTGTTTTTCACATTTAAAAAACCTTGAAACATAAAGACTTGCCAAGTACTCCCCTGCTTCATGGGATGAGGAAGGAGTTTCTAAAAGGAAAGACATTATCTTTCCTTTCAAGTAACAATCAGGACTGGGTCAAGATGGTAGACATATATCCCCATCCCAAATCATAAAGATTTTTCAAAAGGAAATACATGAACCACAATGAACCACATCCTTGAAAGAGTCAAATATGCAAAGGCTGGGATTTTGAATTTCAGTAAAACAGCTATGGATGTTTACCAGGTGTACCGGTACCGGTTAATAATGCAGATTTTTTCAATAGATGGAGTTACATATATGTTGATATATATGCAATTTGATATGTATGCTGTTTTGTTATATTGACAGCAAGCTTCAAAACTTCATATGTCAAATTTTCTGAAGGTGTTAACATCATAGATATTTTTATGCTTAAAAATATCGAATTTGCCCTAACCGGTTTGGCTCAGTGGATAGAGCGTCGGCCTGCAGACTGAAGTGTCCCAGGTTCAATTCCAGCCAAGGGCATGTACCTTGGTTGCGGGCACATCCCCAGTAGGGGCTGTGCAGGAGGCAGCTGATCGATGTTTCTCTCTCATCGATGTTTCTGACTCTCTATCCCTCTCCCTTCCTCTCTGTAAAAAATCAATAAAATATATTTTTAAAAAATGTTGAATTTCGTGCCAAAAAAAAGAGCATTTGCGGGAAGTTTTAATTCATTATTTTGGTTTTTTTTTAATTAAATCTTTATTGTTCAGATTATTACATTTGTTCCTCTTTTTTTTCCCCCCATAACTCCCCTCCTCCCAGTTCCCGCCCCACCCTTCGCCCTCACTCCCCACCCACTGTCCTCATCCATAGGTGCACGATTTTTGTCCAGTCTCTTCCCGCATCTCCCATTCCCCTTTCCCCCCCAAGAATAGTCAGTCCATTCCCTTTCTATGTCCCTGATTCATTATAATCACCAGTTCATTCTGTAAATCAGATTATTTATTCACTTGATTCTTAGATTCACTTGTTGATAGATGCATGTTTGTTGTTCACAATTTGTATCTTTACCTTTTTCTTCTTCCTCCTCTTAAAGGATACCTTTCAGCATTTCGTATAATACTGGTTTAGTGGTGATGAACTCCTTTAGCTTTTCCTTATCTGTGAAGCTCTTTATCTGACCTTCAATTCTGAATGATAGCTTTGCTGGATAAAGTAATCTTGGTTGTAGGTTCTTGCTATTCATCACTTTGAATATTTCTTGCCACTCCCTTCTGGCCTGCAAAGTTTCTGTTGAGAAATCAGCTGACAGTCGTATGGGTATTCCCTTGTAGGTAATTGAGTCTCTTTCTCTTGCTGCTTTTAAGATTCTCTCTTTGTCTTTTGCTCTTGGCATTTTAATTATGATGTGTCTTGGTGTGGTCCTCTTTGGATTCCTTTTGTTTGGGGTTCTCTGCGCTTCCTGGACTTGTAAGTCTATTTCTTTCACCAGGTAGGGGAAGTTTTCTGCCATTATTTCTTCAAATAGGTTTTCAATATCTTGCTCTCTCTCTTCTTCTGGCACCCCCCATAATTCAGATGTTGGTGTACTTGAAGATGTCCCAGAGGCTCCTTACACTATCTTCATATTTTCGGATTCTTTTTTCATTTTGCTTTTCCGGTTGGGTGTTTTTTGCTTCTTCGCATTTCAAATCTTTGACTTGATTCTTGCGCTCCTCTGGTCTGCTATTGGGTGTCTGTATAATATTCTTTATTTCAGTCCGTGTATGCTTAATTTCTAGTTGGTTCTTTATCATAGCATCGAGGGTCTCATTAGTTTTCGTGACTCTCTCCTCAAGTTTATTGACAGCTTCTAGCACATTTTTGCAAGCCCTCAAAATTGCGATTTTTAGCTCTATATCCTCCATTTCTGTCATGTTTTTTTGTCTCCGCATTTTTTATGCTTTCTTGGTGCACCCCCTAGTGGTCTTTGTGCGCAGTCTTGTTCTAGTTGAGCCTTGATTGTTGTAGTTAATACTAGAGGGATTTGACCACCAGGCCGACTGGCTGTGTGAATCAGCTGTGTCTGCCGCGGAAAACTTCTGTCCTCTGGGGAGGTGCTAATCTAGCCTTTGCCTGAGGCGATCTGGCAAATGGCTCTGCGCAGGGCTTGGGCGGGGCGGGCTCAACAGGGCGGGCGGAGGGAGCGGTTATGGTGCCCTCAGTCCCGTTCCCAGAGGCTCTGCTTCTCAGAACCCCAGGAACCGCTGCAAACCTCGGAGAGAAAGCTGCCTTCCAACTGATGCCAGACACTCCCGCTTCTCCCGTTTGGGTCCGAGTCCCCAGCGATTCGCCCGTATCTGGAGCTCAGAGTCTGAGACTCCCCCCTGACCGAAAACGACAACCGCGCTCTCAGCCACCAGCCCGCTTTGCGCGCGCACCTCCGCACCTGAGTAAACGCTGGTTTAAATGCTTTAAAAGTGATGATTTCGATGTGAAAGACAAAGAACGTCCAGGTCAACCAAAAAAGTTTGAAGACCAACAATTCCAAGCAGTATTGGATGAAGATGTATGTCAAACTCAGAAACAACTTGCACAAAGATTAAACGTTGCTCAGTAAACAATTTCCGATCATTTACAAGCAATGGGAAAGATTTTAAAGAGAGGAAAATGGGTGCCACATCAACTGAACGAAAGACAAATGGAAAACCGAGAAGTCATCAGTAAAATGTTGCTTCAACGGCACCAAAGAAAGTCTTTTTTGCATCAAATTGTGACTGGCGATGAAAAGTGGATTTATTTTGAGAATCCCAAACGCACAATATTATGGGTTGATCCAGGTCACATCAACATCGACTGCAAGGCCAAATCGCTTCAGAAAGAAGACAATGCTCTGCGTTTGGTGTGTTATGAGCTTCTAAAACCAAGTGAAACTGTTAATACTGATCATTACCGACAACAAATAATAATTTGAACCATGCTTTGATTGTAAAACTACCAGAATGAGCCGGAAGACACGGCAAAGTAATTTTGCTTCATGATGACGCACCATCACGCACTTCAAAACCAGTTAAAGACATGTTAAAAGATCTTGCCTGGGAAGTATTAACCTCCCTGCCATATTCACCAGACCTTGCTCCTTCAGATTACCACTTGTTCTGATTGATGGCACACATACTTTCTGAACAGCACTTCAAAATGTACAAAGTAGTAGAAAATTAGGTCTCTGGATGGTTTGCCTCAAAACAAGAAAAGTTCTATTGGGACAGTATCCACAAATTACCTGAAAGATAGGGGAAATGTGTAGCTAGCGATGGACATTACTTTGAATAAAGCACTTTTGATGTTTCTCTTTAAATTATCATGTTTTCTTTGATCACAGAATTCTCATTATTAACCGGTACACCTGGCAGTACCAGTGTCAGGCAAAAATGTGAGACTACAGGTGGAACTGTGACAATTTCTCACTCGTAAAATGAGAGAACAACAAGTAGTACAAAGCAGCAGGTCTTACTGTCTTCACATATATTTGGTTTCTTGCTCTCAGCTACCTACAGCTAAATAGCTTCGTGTTAGGACTGGCATTTCAACTAACCTAGAGCTCTTGTAAGTTAAGCATGAACACTTTCAGTGAGTTGCTTCCCTTTGAATATTCCCTTCATAGGTGAGACCTAATGTTCATTGTTTCTCCATGACCCTCTTTGGAGCCTCTGTAAAGTCTGTGAAATATGCAGATAAGAAAGGTGTAGAGAACCAAGTCCTGGACAGCTTGCTCCCACTACTTCTGTATTCTCAAGATGAAAATGATGCAGAAGCTGAGGTAATGTGTAGTGTCAACTTCTTTCTGGACTTTACCTCAAATCCAGAGCCAAATCTGCAAATAAATGCTCATATATTTGAAAGCAGAGATTTTTGTGGTACCATCTTTTCTTCCCATTTCCTCTGGTACAGGCTACCTTTTAATTATCTTGACTAAGTGAATTGTTTAAAAAGTACTACTATTTCTCTGTAGCAAATTATGGCCCTTTGTGGGTAGCCCAACCCAAAATTCAGCTTAGCACAGAGTCCAAGACATAGTGCCCCGTTCAACAAACTCTTTTGTATTTAGATTTTTTAAATTGATTTGAGAAACAAAGAGTGTGAGAGAGAGATAAACAGAAACATTGATGTGAGAGAGAAACATCAATCGGCTACCCCCTGCACATGCCCTGACCAGGGATCATGCCCTGTATGGGACAATGCTGTAACCAACTGAACTAAGGCAACAAACTCTTTTTGATAACATTATAATATTCCTTTTCTTCTTCCATTCAAGAACTGCCTCTAAGCCTTGAGACAAAAAAGACTTGTATTGAGGCTAAGTGACAGACAGTAGCTTCTCTGGCAATCTAGAGAAGCATTTGCCTCTCCTTAATCTTCTCAGAGCTTCTGCCATAAAAGTTGTGAGTAGGATGTCATCATCTTTAGTATTACTGTCCCACATCTCCAAAGTCCATTCCAAGGTACTAACTATAACCACCAGTTACAGCAAACCAGAGAAGTAGGTTTAGACTTCAAGGATTCTGGACAAATGCTGGCGCTCTCACCTACTTATGTTCCTTACAGAAGTGAAAGCAGTTTCAGAAAAAGGATTTAATATTAGGGTAGACCTTGGCATCTTGTTACGGGGGAAGTTTTATGGCCTTGTGGCCATAAATATAAAATATTTTAGACCTCAATAAAGTATAAAGCAAAGCTTCCCAACCAAGTGATGAGAAAGTATGCCATGTAGGGGTTACAATATATGCAGGTACTGATATTCACCCACCCCCAACCCTGCCCAGGCAAGGCCTAGAGCAGTGGTTCTCAACCTTCCTAATGCCGCGACCCTTTAATACAGTTAGTTCCTCATGTTGTGGTGACCCCCAACCATAAAATTATTTTCGTTGCTACTTCATAACTGTAATTTTGCTACTGTTATGAATCGTCATGTAAATGTCTGATATGCAGGATGTATTTTCATTGTTACAAATTGAACATAATCAAAGCATAGTGATTAATCACAAAAACAATATGTAATTATATATGTGTTTTCCGATGGTCTTAGGCGACCCCTGTGAAAGGGTCGTTAGACCCCCAAAGGGGTCGTGACCCACAGGTTGAGAACCGCTGGCCTAGAGCAATGAACACTCTGGGCTCATTTTCCTTCAAACATTGAATAACCTCTAGTCCCCTCTTTAAGGCTCCTTAGCGGGTTAGCCTAAGCAGAGAGAAGGGATATAACATTATACAGGTTAGGAATCACTAATAGAGTGGGGCCTTGACTTACGAGTGTCCTGACTAACGAGTTTTTTGAGATACCAGCTGTCTCTCGGCTGATTTTTTGCATTGAGTTGATAGAGTAATTTGAGTTAACGAGCTCCTTAACGAGCTCGGTCTCTGAAGGAATTAAACTCGTAAGTCAAGGCCCCACTGTACAGAAAACATAATAAACGCCCATATATCTACCACTCATGCTAAGAAATTAAATCAAGCACCCATTTCCAATTCCAATAGAATTCCCATAAGAACTATCATCCTGAATTTCATTTTTATCATTTCTGTGGTAATATTTCTCATGTTTTAAAACCTTATATGTAAAAGTATTTTGTGTTGTGTCATTTATATATCAGCACCATTTTGTTTAATGTTATACTTACAGGGTTTATCTGTTGTATAGCTCTACTTCATTTGTTTTTACTGCTATATAAAATTTTACCATGTGAATATCCTACATCCCATTTTCCTATTCCTACACATTCAGATTGTCAATTTTTCATTATTACATTGCTGCAATATTTTCTTGTGTACAGTGTGAGAGTTTCTTGATGGCATAAACCCAGAAGTAGAATATCTGGGTATCTTTAACTTTACCAGATATTTACAAATCGCTAAACAAAGTAACTGAACTAATTTGTATTCCTATCAGTCCCCAAAAGGAATTTCAATGGCCCAAATATCTAGTGGACCTGGGACAACATACTTGCTTGAAGTCATCAGAGGTGTTCTATGGTGCATGGGAGGCATTCTAAGAGTAATCCCTAGAGAAGAGGCCTACTTGTGAAATTTTGCTCAAGTATCTGGATCAGGAAAGGATCAATTCTCTCCAGAGTTCCTTCCAAGCCAGAGATCCCACAAGGACTCTGAGGAACTACACTTTCCTGTGCAGAGTGACAGAAAAGTGATAACAGGAGCAATAAGTGGGTGTAGGAGCCCTATCTCTAGAGCATGGGGTAGTGGGAACTCCTACCTGAATCTCTGGTCTGGGTATTACACCTGATAGCTCTCACTTTTGCCTTAGATCAGTGGTTTCTACATCCTCCCAAGAACCCCACAGGTTTTATGGATTCCCTTTAGGGACTATGGGGAAGTTTGAGGGCAGTACTCTGGTTCCTTTCCACCCCTCCTCTCACTTCAACGGGGATAATTGGGAGCTTATCAGCTTTTCATATTGGACTTTAGTGACAGTTCTGAGGAAAGGTTACCTCAGTTAAAAAATGTTTGAGCCCTGGGTGGTGTGGTTCAGTTGGTTGAGTGTCATCCAGTGCACTGAAGGGTCACAGGTTTGGTTTCCAGTCATGGCAAATGCCCAGATTGCAGGCTCGATCCCTGGTTGGGGTGCATGTGGGAGGCAACTGAGCCAATCAACATTTCTCTCTCACATTGATGTTCTCTCTCTCTCTCTCTCTCTCTCTCTCTCTCTTTCTCCCCCCCTAAAATCAATAAAAACATTAATTTTAAAAAAATGAAATTGCATCTTTTTTAAAAAAAAGAGTTAAAAAATACTGATCTCTGATAATCTTTTTCACAGGAGAGCAGGCGAATCCTAACTATATGTGCCCAGTTTCTTAAGTGGAAGCTGCCCCAACAAGTGTACTACAAAGATCCCTGGTATATCAACCCTAGTGAAGTTGAAACAATCTGCAAATTCTTTGTATGTGAGAAATCATGGTTTTGTTAACTTTAATACATTGACCTTTTTTTCAGATGTTGTTTTTTTAATATATTTTTTATTGATTTCAGAGAGGAAGGGAAAGGGAAAGAAAGAGACATCAATGATGAGAGAGAATCACTGATCAGCTGCCCTCTACACGCCCCCCATTGGGGATCAAGCCTACAACCCAGGCACGTGCCCTGACCAGGAATCAAACTGTGATTTCCTGGTTCATAGGTCCACGCTAAACCACTGAGCCACACCGGCTGGGCTCAGATGTCGTTTTTAATCATAAGTTTCTATCTAAGAACTGTTCTGTACTGTGAATCTATAGCTTCCTCCCAACTGAGTCACAAATACACTTTCTATTACCACCTTTCCTAATGGAAAAGACTGGTGAATTCTTGGGATCCCCAAGATTACAGGTTAGGCTACCTGCACATACAGCTAATAGCACATACTCAAATAACTACTTGTAGAGTAAACTGAAATGGAGTTACATATTGCCTTTATAATGATCTCTAATTCCTGTCCTTGGATATAGTAGATTGTTTTACCCTCCATTAGAGCATGTTCAGGGAGCCCCAAGCAAGGCTGCCATACTGTTGTAGGCCATGCAGCATGATGACAGTATGCCACTGACTCTGCCAGAACCTTGCTAGCATCCTTTCTCCCCACAAATTTGACAATCTTAGGGATAGGCTTAAGCCAGAGCAGCCTCAGGAGGCCGTTTTTGTTTTTGTTTTTGTTTTCTAGACAACTGACTGTAGAACCACTGGGGTCCTAATGAAGACCTTAGGACTTGTCCTGGCCAGGTGGCTCATTTGGTTGGAGCGTTGTCCCTTGCACCAAAATGTTGTGGGCTCAATTCCCAGTCAGGGCATTTACCTAGGTTGCAGGTTCGTTCCCCGGCCGGGTGTGTACAGGAGGTAACCAATCAATGTTTCTCTCTCACATTGATGTTTCTTTCTCTCTCCTTATAAAAAAAAATTAATAAATAAAAAACATATCCTCGGGTGAGGATTTAAAAAAAATACCCTAGGACTGACTATTTCCAGAGATCTTCCATATGTGTAATCTGTTTAGGTCCCATCAGGGGCTTCCATGATTGGACTTACCGGGCTAGCAAGCCCCACAGTACCCTTGTGTGCAGGTTTTCCTTTAGGGATTATCTCTCTGACCTGCAGCCAAAACTTATAACTGATGCACTGATGACAGTATTTACAGCAGGAAATTCAGTGCTCTCAGTGGATAAGACTACAGATTATGTTAAATCGTAAGTCCTATGAGAACCAATTCCTGTTGTTCTCCTCCAATCCCCAAGATACCTATCCTTATAAGAGATCCACTGAGAAGTGAACTCACTCATCCAATAAGCGTAACACATCCAATGTGTAACAGACCACGGAGAACCCAGAAACATGCCAATGATTAAAACTTCCTCAGGGGAGCTTGCAAACTAGTAAGGGAGATAAAACCTCTGTGCAATATTAAATAGAAATTCAAGGTGGAAAATATGTGCCAAGAGAGGAGTACTTGCAAAATGCTGAGTAGGGTTAGGTCAGGAAAGCAGGAGCTGTCAGGGAAGAGCTCATAGGGAGGCAGAACTCAAGGTGGATTATAGAGAACAGAGAAGACTTAGATACAGAGAAATGACAGATTTAGAGGCATTACAGGCACAACATGCAGCATGAATGGGTGTGAGCAAGGTGTATTCAGAGGATTTAACTGCCTAGGGCAGGGGTGGGGAACCTTTTTTCTGCCAAGGGCAATTGGATATTTATAATGTCATTCACAAGCCATACAACTAAAAAATTATGTTGCTATGAAAAAAGCTCCTAGATTTATTGAATTTTGAGTCCCACCTGTGGCTGCCTTGGCAGGGCCAGACCAAATATACAGCCGTCGGGCCGGATGTTCCCCACCCCTGGTCTAGAGGATTGTTGTGGCATATTATTTATTGAGCAACTGTAGTTATTTCAAGTACTGTACTATATATGTATATCTGACCTAGTTCCTGACTATGGAAATTACAGTGAGGCTGATAAAAATAGTGCTGCTACTTCACTCCTTTATACTTACTTTTTTCCTCACTTAGGGAAAAAAATGCCAGGAGAAAGTTAACATCCTAGCCCAAGCATTGACGTTCTTCAAGAATGCAAAACTTCCTATCAGAAGAGCAGCAGTCTTGTTTGTCGGTACAAAGAAAATCCTTTCATTACTACAGTAACATCTATCCTGAACTGTCCCAAATTGTGTTGTTGAATATCCCCATTCTTTATGAAGACCTTGAAAATATTTCTTTGGACAAAGGGGCTATGTTATCTATCGGTAATTATCAAGTAGTTGTAAATCCAGTTTTTAGAATCTAATTATCAGAAGCCAATTCTGCCAGCTGCTTAGAGCCAAAGCCAGATCACAGACTCACTGACTTTATTCTGCATTTAGGGATCTTTTCAAAGTACTTGGATCGCAATGAGCTTAAAACGAAGGGTACTAAATGGATAGAGGATGGTAAGTAATAAAACACTGGGGTTTGGGGTGCCCCATCTTTTGGAAGGTATCTGCAGCAGTGACTGGGCAGGCACTGTGGCAGAGCTAAGACTGGGAACTAGAAAGCCTGACTTCTGTGGTAAGTGGAAATCCTTGGAGATTTCAGCTGAATGACAGTCTCACCCCAGTCCAATCCCCTCTTTAAGAAAGAACATGACCTTATTTGTCTGGGAACCAGCTTTGATGAATTGTCTCAGGGACAGTTCCTGAACTTTGTCAGGAAATAAGACATTACATAGAAACACTATCTTAGTAAATTATGATGACACCTCACAAGTACCTCACAAGATGATTGCAGCACTATTTTTTATAAGCAGTTGCCCTGTAAGGTGGTAGGACTTGATAATAAAGATGTTTATAGTCATATAAGGCAACCATCATACAAATGGTTTTCTGAATTGTTAGTGAAAAATTTCCATAATTGTACAGTTTTGAGGATTTCTCAAAGAATTATTTATTCCCACTTAAGAAGTAGGCCTATAATTTTAAAATGCCATTGCTAATTCTCACAACCCCAAAGGATATACTTTGAGAACCAAATTAAAATCCTGGATAATTCACTGCTTTTAAAATAAAAATATAGAGCCCTAGTTAGTTGGTTGCTCAGTGGTTAGAGCATTGACCCACGAACTGAAGGGTCTCAGGTTTGATTCCGGTCAAGGGCACATACCTCGGGTTGCAGGCTCGATCTGGTAGGGGCACATGTGGGAGGCAACTTTTACATCAATGATTTCCTCTGTCTCTCCCCTATTCTCTCTGAAGAATCAATGGGAAAAATGTCCTCGGGTGAGAATTAACAAAAAAATAAAAATATATAGAACTGGTAAAATAGCCAGAAGCTAAAGCTTATTTAGGAAAGATCATGCCACTTTTCTAAGGTCTCTTACTTCTGCACAGTTATCAGAAGCAAAATAATAGGAAGGTCATGTAGATTATTTTATTCTATGAGGTAGGATTCTACATGGTTGATTATATTCAATTAAAAGTAAATTATGTTCTAAAACACTGAGGAATCAAAGTTGCTTTTCTATTCTAAAGTTATCTATATAGAAAATAATCTCAACCTAATGGAATAACCTCACACTATTCCCTCCCTAACAGTGGCTAATCTGTTTTAGAAATAGGGTAGAACACCCTAGCACTCTTTTTGAATAAGCTTATGTCATTTACCACAGGCAGTTTTAAGCAAATTTAAACAAAAATGTCAAAAATTAAAATAACAATTAAACTTAATTTCATGACAAAATAAGTTTCAATTCCTTTGGGTTCCAAAATAGATGCCTGTTTCCTCATGTGTTCTGTGGAACATGTAGACAGATCTTAACGCAGGAACTGAAAGAAACTAACACCTAGTCAAGTATTCCATTTTAGAAATCAACATGACAAATTTAAAGGCTAAAATGGTATTTTATTATTTTTTTTTAATATATTTTATTGATTTTTTACAGAGAGGAAGGGAGAGAGATAGTCAGAAACATCGATGAGAGAGAAACATCGATCAGCTGCCTCCTGCACATCTCCCACTGGGGATGTGCCCGCAACCCAGATACATGCCCTTGACCGGAATCGAACCCAGGACCCTTCAGTCCACAGGCCAATGCTCTATCCACTGAGCCAAACCGGTTTCGGCTAAAATGGTACTTTAAAACAAAAAGCTCCTAATTATGAAAAGGTCTTGAGCATTTTTGAGACCTTTAAGAATTAGAAATTGGCTGGGTAGCTCAGTTGGTTAGAGCATGGTCCTGATATGCCAAGGTTGTGGGTTTGATCCCTGGTCAAGACATGTACAAGAATCAACCAGTGAATGCATAAATAAGTGGAACACCAAATCAATATTTCTCTCTCTCTCTCTCAAATCAATAAATGAAAAATTTAAAAAAGAGAATAACCTTTTCTAATATGATAAAAACATAGATCCATAAAGTAAAAGAATGATAGATTTGTCTATGTAAACTTTTTAAATACCAACTTTGAAACAAAAAGTAACAGACAGAAAGGGTATAAGGGGATAAATAGTGATGGAAAAATTTTTTTAAAAAAATTTAAAGTAACAGAAAAAAACTGAAAAATAAACAATGATATGGGGGACATATTTGCCATATAATAAAGGGTTAATATCCTTAAAACAAATCAGTACTTTCTCAAAAGAAAAGTGGCAAACAATATGAATAAGCAATTCATAGAAGAGAAATGGCCAACAAATATATAAAAATATTCAATATTACTAGTAAAGTTTATAAAACAAAATGATGAGATACCAGTATGTATTTTTCTGTCAACATGGCAAAGATTATTAATTAAATCTCAACATTGGTGAGTAAAGAGAAAACACATTATCACACACTGTGCTGGTATGAGCATAAATTGATACTTTTTTTATGGGGAAGTTTGGTAATATGTATCAAAACACTTTAAATAAGTACATACTTTCACTTATAAATCCCACTTGAGAAACTTAACCTATGAAAATAAGCAGAAATCATTATAGGAATGTTCATTTCAGTGTTACTTAAGCAAAAATGGGAAACATCAAGATTAGAAACAAGGAAATTATAGTATATCCATATTGTACAATCTTATGAAGCTGTGAAAAATATTGTTTAAAAAGGGAATAATGGCCCTAACCGGTTTGGCTCAGTGGATAAAGCATAGGCCTGCGGACTCAATGGTCCCGGGTTCAATTCCCGTCAAGGGCATGTACCTTGGTTGCGGGCACATCCCCAGTGGGGAGTGTGCAGGAGGCAGCTGATCTATGTTTCTAACTCTCTATCCCTCTCCCTTCCTCTCTGTAAAAAAAATCAATAAAATATATTTTTTTAAAAAAGGAATAATGATTTAAGAGTAACCGCTAGGACCAACAGGAACTTAGAAATTAATAATATTAGACAAAACTTAACGGGTCCAGATAATCTGACTTTATGTAGACTACTTGGCAGTGTGATTAGTGTAAAGGAGAAAAATATTTGACAACCCAAAAATGAGTAAGTTTTGTAGGTCAAAACTGGAATTGATTTATAAACTTTCAGATAGAGGTTTGGAAAAATGTTAGCCCTTCATCTCAGCTGCTGTAGGCATGTTGGCTGTTTGGTGTCTGGACCATTTACAATGTTCTTCACCTCCTGCCTGGGTTTTCTTGCACTTAGATCTGAGACACCTGCTGTGTGACCCTGAGCCCTCTATGCACATCGTCGTTTCTCAAGCCTTATTCCAAATCCAGAAGGTGGGGGCTGAACCAGAACCTGAGCAGACTGTATGTGGATTGAGGAAGCTCATGTGTTGTCTTCCAACCTAGAAATGCAAGGCAGGCAACATCAGGTAAAAAATAATCCTTTCAGAAACCACAGAAGCAACTAGTGCTCCTTTTTTTTTCTCAGACTTAAAGAAAGCTACCTCCACCCATTTAATTACCTCAGGATATTTTTTGCTGTCAAGACCTTTAAGGAACTAGAATATGTAAGAGAAAACAGTTCTTGGTTTGGCAGGTAGAGTGACAATGTACTGAATTTTTGAGGCATTCCAGAGCATCCACAAAGTCCCAGTTTGATAAACATGTCTAGGAGAGCTTCAAAAGAGATTCTAAATAAATGTTAATGTTGCAGTGTTTTTATTGTTGGCTTTTTTGACAAAACTCAGTCTACCTGTCAACAATCTAAGAATAACATCCAATTCTTACAGTTTGATATTAATGATGTGTTTTTATAAAATTCCTACATCCTTTCTTTCTTTCCTTTTCCTTTAAAAACCTTCAAGCAAGAAAAAACTTCTGAAGTGGTGTAATGCTAAACCTATTCCAATATGTAAGGTTTCCACTCCTTCCCCTTTTTCATTTTTCTGATTCCCTCTCCTACAACTGTTGTCAGATTCTGCTATTTGTTGGTTACCCACTGTCTGCTTATGAGAAAATTTTCTTACAAACGGAAATTTTCTGAGAAATAGATTACTTTGTATTTATCAATACTTTGATAAGCTACATGTAGAAATGGTTACTATTGACCTAATTCCCAGGCTCTTGTTTGGTTGAGGAACATAAGCAAAGAACCAGGACTTAACTATTTAGGGCAATGGAGAGGCCTTGTAATATGGGAAAAGAAAAAGGAAATGAGGCAACTAGCATATGACGAATAGATAGATCCAATGGTGAATTGCATTAAGTTTTTGTTGTAAAGTGAGCAATATGAATCTTTATCACCCTATCCCCACCACCTTTCACCCCAATCCTTCTGCCAAGACATTGCTAGAAACAAATTTCTTCACGATTCATGGTGAGTAAGATGTTTTGAGGGATGTGATAGCGTGCCAAGTGTGGTTTCAAGGGGATCCCTGCCCAAGAGAGGTCTTGTTTAAGACTAGCAGTCAAGAGTTTGAGCTAAAATGCAGGACCTGGCTGCTTGATGAACTAACTCTTCACCCTCAAGCAGAGCCACCTTGAGGGTGATCACTGGATGCTGAACTTCAGTGCAGCAAGCCCATTTGACTTCCATGTATCCCATGCTACTTTCTCCTTGGTCTCATAGCACTTACCCAACTCCACTCCACTCCACGCAACTCCACTATCCATTTTATGGATTATCCAATAAAAATGACTAAGGCTTATTGAATATTGACAATGAACCAGACTCTAACTATATTACACAATTAACTCTTTTAATTCTCATAACTACTCCATGTATTATCTCCATTTTGCAGATGGAGAAGCTGAGAAACAGAACATGAAAGGTATTTGCACAAGCTTATACAACCTAGTAAATGCTAAACTCAAGTAGTCTGGCTCCAAAGCCCACATCTTTGATTGGTCTGCTCTGTTCCTCTACAATCTGATTTTACCCTCTAATGTGAATAAAAGTACATTTATTCTACAATTAATCTCAGTTGCTGGACTTGTGCCCAAAATTCATATACTCAAATAATGTTATAAATTATGATTAAGCCTGGCTGGCATGGCTCAGTGGATGAGCATCGAACTATGAACCAGGAGGTCACAGTTCGATTCTCAGTCAGGGCACGTGTCTGGGTTGCAAGCTCAGTCCTCAGTGTGAGGCGTGCAGAAGGCAGTTAATGATTCCCTCTCATCATTGATATTTCTATCTCTCCCTTCCTCTCTGAAATCAATAAAGATGTATTTAAAAAATAAATTATGATTGAACCTCAAATAATACAAAGTTTGAACACTTCTTACCTAAAAGTTAGCATATCTCATTTTATTTTTAATGGGAAAGGATGCACATCCTACACTGAGGAAAGTGAAGTTAGAACAAAAAGCGGTGGTTATTCTTGAGGAATTTTTTGAGTCCTTCGTTTGACTTCATGGTCTTTGTCTCACAGCAAAAAAACAGACCTTTAGGTTTAGGGTGCAGTTTAAATCTCCAGTGACATATAAGAAGTTGAATGAATCCTTTCGCTCTACTCAGATTTACACTGGAGTCCCTGTCCTTCCAGGCAGATTTTTATTTCTGAGTAATAATAACAGGGAGAAGCAAGCACAACAATGCATATCTTATTTGTTTTATTGTGTTAAAATTCACAGAGAGAAGCATCCATTAAGAGACAGAGAGGACTGCTCTGTACTGAACTACCTCAGCAGTTTGGGAAGAGCTGAAAAAGTACTTGATAGTGATTCTATTACCAAGTCTATTTATTCCAAAGATCTCTATTATTTTTATACAAGGCTTTCCTCAGAGATAGGCTTATGTTTTTATGGGATTTTTTAAATATACAAAACAAAAATTTCTGGACATTTAATTTTGTTGTAATATGTTGCAATAAAAGTTCAATATATTTGAATATTGTCTTGGCTTTATTTTTATTACATACTATTAAAATGTATTATTCATTATATATTACTGGCCCAGCTGTCTTTATTAGTTTAGATTTTCACTTTTTAAAATTCAAGTATTGCTTTTCCTCCTTATACTAAGATACCTTATTTTATAAGAAATTCGTTTTTTTTCTTATTGAAAGATTAAACTATCATGTAAGTAAAAGATGGGATTGGGTGAGGGGAGAATCTCTCAGGCATTGGCCCTGGCAAATAAAACAGTACTAGGTACAAGTGTAAAATAAGTCAAATTGTTAGGGGGGGGGAGGGAGAAATAGTGAGGACTAGCTATAGTTACAAGAAATATTAATCATGCTGTTAACCATGATTGTTTTGTTCTGATTAAAGAAAGCACAGTCTGACCTGGCTGGGACCTGGGAGTTAATGCCCCTGGGACCTGGTAGTTAACCTCCAAATGCGGTCCATTCTCCTTATCAGAGAACTGCCTATCATCATGGAAAGAATAACAACCTTGTTGCCAAACAATGGAGTCCTGGAGGGGAGCCTGCCATTTGCAACCCCAGCTCTTGCCTGTAGTGGGTAATCATTATACCCATTCTTATCCCTTTTGTCTACTTACCCATGCCTATAATTCCCTTTGCCTACTTCCCATATAATCTTTGTCCTTCTACCCAAAATAAGCAGGTAGCTTGGGGAGGGGGGGGGGGGGAGGAGGCTGAAGGGGATATAGAGTAGATTTTTGTGGATGACCTGCTGTTCTCCCATGTTGCGGGCAATATTGAAAAATAAAACCTCATACATAATTCAACCCTGTCTCTGCTTGATTGGCTAAAGTAGTGACAGGCAGCCCAGACCCATTCCTTGTCTGGTTTCAAAATCTCTCTGTCCCTTCCAGCACCCCCTCCTTCTTTCTTCCAGTTTTTAAACTCCATGCTCCTTTTTCTATCTTTCCTCTTAGGAAAGGATCTGGTGAACTCACTGTTAGTGTGAGTGACTAATAATGCAACCTAACATACACCAATCACAACCTTCCAACTCAGTTTTAGCTAGCTTACCTTACTCTAGAAAATAGGACCTTCTAGCCTTCAAGCAAATCCCTGACCTCCTAGCCAGGAACTGTGCTAGGTAATTAGGAAACATCAAGAAATAAAACAGAACAAGCCCTGGCCAGTTGCTCAATTGGTTGGAGCATCATCTCGATGTGTCAAGGTTGTGGGTTCCATCCTTGGTTAGGTCACATAGAAGAAGCAACCAATGAATGCATAAATAAATGGAACAAATCTGTTTTTCTCTCTCCCTTCCTCTCTCTAAAAATCAATACAATTTTTTGTATAAAAGTAAGAAAACAGAATAAAAAGATAAATTTTAAAAATATATATAGAAAAATAAACTACAAAAAGTGGAATGACAAATTGATATTTCTCTCTTCCTTCTTTTCTAAAATCAATTTTTTTAAATGCTATTGCTATTCTGAAATATCTTCTTGTGACCAGAGAGTGCCCTGGTCACTCTAGATTTTGATAAAGGCCTTAAAATGAACAGTTTTAAGTTAAATTGGTGTTTTCAGTTTTTCAGTTCTTTATCCAAAGTCTAAAGGAGATACAAAAATCACTTAATTTTCCTTGTGAGTAGGGCTGGCACTACTTTCCCTGTAGGGACCCAGCTTAAGGATCACCACTTCAGTTTTCCCTTGTGGAACAACTTCTTACTAGAATGATGAGGTCAGGACTTGCCCCTCCCCCACAACTATCAACTGCTTTTTTTGGACAGTTAGATGATTAGGGAGCAGTTTTTTCCTAAGAGGGACATGTGCTGATCAAACATCTGCTAAAGACGCATAGCAAAGCCGGAGGACAAAAAATGTTTTTGAAAATATTTCAAAATGAAATAACCATTTTGAGAGAAATAATCAGAACTTAGTTGTACTTTCTTACACTTATTTTGTGGTTTAGAATTGTTTATATTTTGAATGATATTTGGGAGAGTGTCCATATAATTTTTTAGTCTTGGAGCTTCTAAAAGTCTTAATCAGACTTTGGACACATACTCTGGGGAACTCTGAAATATTAAACCATAACAAGGAGGCTAATCATAGAAGCTATCACACAATGGGATCAGAATAGAAACAACCTTCATGATGTATCTGGATCAGAAATGAAGGCAGAATAAATCTATTTCACTACTCATACTTCATTTTCTATTCAAAAAAGCTCAACATAGAGTTAAATGGACATGCCACTGGATATTAAGAAAAAATTTAAAACCCTGATTAAAAAAGTAGGGTGAGCATTGGGTAAAGGGATTTTTAAAAAAAAGCATTCAGATGAGGCTGGGTCTGACGGATATGTCCTCAAAGCTGCCTACATTTGATTCAAATGGTAACAGTGAAGCTGTGAAGTACTGAGAAAGAAAGTGACATAAACACTAGACTAGTAACTAAATATAAAATGTATTGGAAGAAAAAAATATAAAATGTTGAGACAACTAGAAACCCAGTGGAGGAGGAATCTACAACCTTTCATGATTAGGTGTAGAGAATAAAGGAGCTTGGGGATTCAGTGACAACAAAGAGCACAGCCATGGGCTAGGTTTTTTGGTGAGTATGGCAGTGCTGTTTATTGAAAACCAATGACAGTTTAGTGACCATCCAAAATAGGGGAGGAAAAGAGTACTGCTTAAATCTGCTTTATTTCATAAGGGAACTGAAGAGTATTTCCCTTTTATTTTGGCCTCATTTCCAAGGTCCGTACTTCCTAATAATTCAACTCAGAACAGCATGAGAATTGCAACATAGCAAAAAGAAAAGTCATAGAAATGAGTGATTGATTGGATGTAAAGTGACAAACCAGGTGAATCAAGAGATAGATGAAAATGGAAGGTTTTACATGGACAGGCTATGACTTATTGACAGTCCAGATTTAGCCCTGAAGAGGAGAAAAAAAATGAATAATGTTTTGCCGGGGTTCTTGTTTCGGCATTAAGAAGGGTTCAGCAATCTGGAAAAGGGGCTGTGTGTAACTTAAGAGTCCAGAGACGAAGCATAATTTTGAAAGGCATATGGGGGTCAGAGGAGCCTAGCTAAAGAAACTAAGTTCTCCTCGTCTCAGGACCCCATGCTTTTTATTAACACAAATTGTCCTGAGGTGAGGCAGAGATATACACTTCAAAGGGTAGGGTTTCGTATACACTGTCCATTGTCAGAATGGGAGATTTAGCCTAGGGCAGTGGTCAGCAAACTGCAGCTCGGGAGCCACATGCGGCTCTTTGGCCCCTTGAGTGTGGCTCTTCCACAAAATACCACCGGTGGGCGCGCACGTACAGTGCGATTGAAACTTCGTGGCCCATGCGCAGAAGTCGGTTTTCGGCCTGGGTGAATCTATTTTGAAGAAGTACTGTTCATATTTGGTTCTGTTGACTAATGAGTTTGCCGACCACTGGCCTAGGGATGTTCATCAGGTGTTTGGCCAGAAGGAGGCAATAACATGCAGATTAAGATGCCCTGAGCTGTCTGGCAGCAATCAATTTAATGCATCCTTTTCAGGTTTGGGGAAATGCCCTTGCCACTCCAGATGATTCAGCCTGCTGTCATGCTGGAATTGGCTTCCGGCAATGTTTCTCTGTTTTTGTTTGATAGATGACCTGTGAGAGATGTTTCTTTTGTTCTTGGATCATTTTCAAGCTGGCAATGCCCCTCAGTTCAAGTCTGGATATCTGAAAGTCACAGTAAAGGAAGAATCAGTATCTTGCACATAGCAGGCATTCAGTAAACATTTGTGGAATGAAGAAATTAAGGTTTTTCAAGAGTTAATATGCATAAATTGGGAAAAGAATCAGGAGAATCAAATCTAATAGTAAAGAAGAAATGGGCTATGGTACCAATGCCCATTCACTGAAAACCAAACTACTAAAAAGATGAAAAATGGGGCAATGAATCCCTGGTTTTGTTTGATTTATCATTTCTGAGAGTTAACTGTTATCTTGGTTTCTTTTTAAGGCCAGAATTACCCTCTACAGTTCAAATCTGGGGGGGAAAAGAGATTGGTTAATTATGGCAAAGGCAAAAAACTTGAGGCTTCTTGGCTCTTGCTATCTTGTCCATGAC